GGCGTAGAAACTTGGTAGGGGTCTCTAAAGAAAGGTCTTGGTCTGTAGATGAGCCATCAAAAGAGGAACGAGGTAAATTCCCATGGGGCTCTGCCCCAGAAGCCTTTAAAGTTGCCTCTTCAGATTTGTTTACATTACGACCATATGCATAATTCTACACTACTTTTTAATGAAACAGCTGTTAATATGTAAATTGTGATTAATTTATTGAATTTGTCAAAATGAAGTACAGTATTTGCAATGGGGTTTTCTGATTTTAAATTGGATTTTCTTCTGCATCGTGTCATGTTTTGCAATATAATGTTCTATTAGCAAATCAGTGGAAAATCATAATATCACAGTAACTCTTAAAATTATTTCTTTAGGAGTTAACTTATATCTATTGTATGGGTTGGTTTCTGCCTTTTTTACCACTTCTTGGAGATTGTACGTAGGTGATATTCGTTGGCATATTGCATCTGTAGACGAAACTTGGGTTGGTGTAATTATTACAATGGAAAATGAGCGAGGAATCCTGGACAATTTGATATGGGCTAAAAATAAAACTGAATTAACACTGTTCTACATTTCTTGAGCAATGATTGAAATAATCGATTTGCAAACAATGGAAACATAGAAAAAGTCATAGAACACAACCAAGTAGAAGAAATAGAAATGATTTTTTGCTTAATTTATAGTCGTTGTCATAGACAACCTAATGCGGATATGAGAGGGAAAAATTTGTAGAAAACACTAAAAAAAACAAGATAAAATTATTGAAAAAAGATAATATGATATTTACAAAAGATTTTGATTATATCTAACTGTTGTGTAGATCGTGAGTATTTCCATAATCTTTGAATCGCCTGTAATGCTTCGCAATTGCTCGAATTCGAGCAACAGGTACACTAGTTTATTTTTATTTGACGATTACCTATAAAAATCCGCAATATAATGGTAAAAAAGGTTATAAAAAAACTGTACAAACAATTTAGATGAAAAATTGGTATTTTTAGTCCGTTTAGCTCTAAAAAAATTGGTACGACCCCAATTGCTGTAAAAACTACAGTTTAAAACTTGTCTAACTTTTGTGATTTTCCCCATCATATATATCGGGAAACGGAGAACCGGCCAACTCTAGCCCTAATCCGCAAATAGAAGTTAGGTTAGGTTAGGTTAGGTTGGATTAGATTATATAAATATGGCCCCTGAATTATGACCAGTGGCCGGAACCCTTACACTCATAAAATATCATAGGTACTCCCACCGCTTAAACATGATAAGGATTGTTGACAAGCCCATGGGAGAAAGTGTGTCAGATTGCTTATACAGATTATTTTATTTAAAACTTAAGAATCGTTATATGTAAGGGAATGTATACAAGCACAGTAGTTTTGTTACATTTGACTGCATTCCTAGTTGTTTCACTTCCTTCTATTATTTCATTCAAACTCTGTAGAGTATTACATTATCTCTTTTACAATAGCAATGCTTATTCTTTCTTATCCAAACAAAAACATAAATAAAATCAAACAAATAACTACAGCAATATTTTAAAACATCCATCATATTATCGTGGCATTTGAATACATTAATAACGATTTAATCGAAAATAATAAGAGTTGGGATTAGACCAATTATCGTCCGTGAAAATGAATTCGATATAGTGATAACAAAGCCACCCTAAATAATGACGAGGGTGTGTTAATGAAGACGTGGCCCCAGTGTAGAGCCACCAGCTACCCCCGGGCTACCAGGGCTAATTTAAAGCTGCATCAGCGATAGTGCCACCAGTGTCACTATAGCACAATGCACCCCATTAGAACACACCTCCAGCCCCACGGTTGCACTAAATGACATCATAGGCGCTACAATAAAAACCCTCCAGTACCACTGAATGATACAAGCAGCGTTACGAAGTAATAAGTTACCACCAGTATCACTAAATAGTAAAACCAGGAGCGGCACCAAATAGCACCCCCATGACACAATTAGCGTATAAGCACCGTCACTGTAAAGCAACGTCACCATACAGCACCACCAGTAAATGGTACAAGCAGCTGCACCTTAAAACACCACCAGTACCCCTAATGAGCAGCGGCACCATATAGCACCACCAGTATGACTAAATGCGCAATCAGCAGCACCATATAGCACCACCTGACCATTCAATGACACTATCGTCTCCACTAAATGACATAATCTGCGCCACAATATAGCAACAACAATATACCAATGACAACATCGGCGTCCCATATAGCACCATCAGCGTCACTAAATGACTATATCTCCACTAAACGCCCACACCATCAACGTCACAATAAAACCCCACCAATTTTAGACGGTTTAAATAGATTGACATGACTATTGACTAATGCTAATTTGTAATTTGTTATTTTGATTGGATTAAATATAGCAATTGAGTTAAAATAATGATCCAATAATCGTGTCACCAAATATCATCGCCATTACCACTAAAATATACAATCAGCTTCATCATATTATGGCACCACCAGAACCACGAAGTGATACAATCGATCATATAGTCAAGTCCTAGTAGGGGTTCATCTGGGATTCATCAGTTTTTAGCAAGGGTGAGTAACAAATTAAACAAATACAACAAAGTAACAAATCGGGGTATCCGATTCCCAATCAAGTATTGGGTAGCTGATACAGTAGGGTGCGAGATTTCCCTAGGTACTACACATAAGATCTTTTTGAAGCTTTTTATAATATTTTCAGCCAATCTTTTGACAGCAATCATCGTAAAGCCCTTGCACAAGTAATATTATAATGTAAACGGCTCTCATATGTGCAGGGAGGTGTTAAGAATATTTTTTAACATTCTCCATCAGTTTGTCAAGGTACCATAGATAAAATCATGGTATTTCTCAGATTATCACAACAATAAACAATAATACTCGTCAAATCCTGGAATCATGCGTTAGGAGCCTCCCTGTAACACCTTCATCATGAAAGGAACTACCAACGATGGGAAGAAACAAGTGTGAAGGTGAATCCAACTGAAATTGATTCTGGGTTCATTCTTTATCTTTATAGATCAATAGACCAAGGTAGTGATGATTCCAAATTAAGGAAGAACGGCCAGACCAGAGCCAAAACCATATAGATGAAGAATATACACACATGTAATCCTCATACTACAGCTCATAGCTTCTCGCTCAGGATAACAGACCCAGTCAGTGCTGTCCTCTCTTGGAAGCTATAAATTGGTAGGCCTACCGGTACTTAAGTAGTACCCCTAGATCTTCCTAACCAGTCTTTCAGATGGGATATTTTAAACCTAACTTTAGCCAGACCAAGTAACTGGTAGTATTTAAAATGTTTAAGTAACAAACGATCGGGAACAGAACAACAGACAGCCGATAGCAACGCAATTAAAAATTTTCGTATACAAATACCTACATTACAGTGAAGTCTTGATTTACCTTCGTATAAGACAAAAGTGATACAAAATTTAAATTCCAATATTTATCGACAGTAACCTCGTCAATAATAAATTCAATAGGAAAACGACTCCATATATGTTTTCTTGGGTTGAGTGAAACCATTGACTTTGAATAGATCCGACAAAACACAATCTACTGTATGAAACACTAGGCTTCATCATAGACTAACCAACAAGTAAGTGGGCTTCTCATCCAGTTCTATATTTATAAATTAGTTAATAGTTAGTCTTAGTAAAGCTAAGCTTAACTATGCTCTCTCCACTAACTAGGCAGACAGGTGACATCAACTCATTGATTCGCACTTTATTGTTTTAAATTTAAATTTATGACCATAAATTTATCAAAATATTGAAATTAAACACACAGAATTGAAAACCAAAACAATGAATTGAACATATATATTTTTACATTTAAAGTGGAGTCAGTATTGTCATAGTCAAGTAACCAAGCTTTCGTAAATACACAAATACCATTAGCTATATACTTACTTTCCGTGTCCGGAAATCAGACTTCGCTTTTCCAAAAATTTTCTACCGATATGGCTTTGTCATTCGCTTGTAAAATCTAATGTGCAAGACTGGTCTAGGCGTGGACAGATCAGCAGATGGCCAAGATCCTGAACAGCACCACACGCACACAAGATGTTTTCTTCGTCTGGTAAGAGACCACATTTCTGCATGTTTGTCTTGCATTTTTGTACCTCAACCCTGATTCGATTTAGGGTCTTCCAAAAAACAACCGGAAGACTTCGAAGAATGAACCATTAGCTGCTTCCAAACAAGACATTTGTTGAGCTATTACGACCCTACTTGCGACGTTGCCACTATAAAAGCGGCCGTGCCATTATGTGCTCTATTGTCTGTAGTGACACTGAGCACTAGTGTCGACGAAATTTTGTTTTGTTTATTTTATTTTAGAGTCAATTCTATGATTTATGCTTTACTTTTTGTTATTAAATAAGAGGACAAGCTATTGTCATCATCTATGCTATTGTTTATAATGCAAACGGTATATTTGATTTAAATCCCATTAAAAAAAACTGAAATAACAATGAGCGAACTGTAAAAACACACGCCCATAGCGGCATTGAACGAAACTAAACTTATCGTTAAAATGAAATTGCCTTACTGATCCATAAGCATAAGGATGACTATTCTGCTTAAAGGCTCATTTTACTAGCCTTCTCCGAGCTTTGTTTCGAAGACAAAATATGTTTTTCTCAATTATATTAAAATAAATGGTATACATCTAACTTTAAGAGATGAAACTTGAACTTTAAATACTTAAGCAATCAATTCAACCTGCAAAATCATCTATCCACACTAACTTAAAGCCAACTTAACTTCAGTAACTCAGCTTATTTTAAAAATCATTACCTAAGTAAGTTTAACAATCAAGAAAGCCTGGGAAAAATATCACGATGACATATTACGAACAGTCGTAATATATGTTGAAATAGTGTGGCTACATGGTAGTATAATAAAGCTAGCTTTTTATAAGCTAACAAGAATGGGAATTGAAGAAGAAGAAAAAGAAAAGTTAAGTGTCTAACCTCAAAGTTAATTAAAGCTGTTATGAAAATATTCTGTTTATCAACATAAACATTTTATTAATTAATTGTTCTCACAGAACTGTACACTGTAAATATATTCTATTTTTATCTGAGCAACATGTCATTATTGAACAGAATATCATCGTTGAGCCGCGTTTTTGGTAAGTTGCCTAATAATTTATATTCCAAAACATAGCGTTAGGCCTAGGCCTTCCCTTTTATAAAAAAAAAAACGTAAAACCGACCATAACATTAACATATTTAGTTTTAGAGAGGTATGAATGTTAAAACGTGCGAGTGTAATTTCTAATGGCAAAATTGAAAGGTTAAAATAGCCAATAGGCAATTAAGTTATTCCGTATGTCAGGTAAGTTAGGCCACAGAGAAGTAAGATACAGAGGATTTATTCAATGGTATACTAAAGTGGTGTCTAGAGCAAATTATATAGGCTGGGCTAGGTCGTCCGTTTTCAATATTGTATAGGAAATAAATCGATTATATGGTGCATGGAATTGCGTTTAGGTCTAGTGGTTTTGTTTGTTTTGCATCGCATGCAAGCAGAGGTTTGGCGTTCCCTCTCCACAGTCCACATAAGTTAAGCCACCGTACCTTTCTAGCCACTAGAACTTGGGTTAGACTCGCCAAGACCACCATTCCAACCACTTAGGTAATGAACCTCAAATTTGAAAGTTTTTTGGACACTTAACTTAGTACTCCTTCTATTAAAAACTGATTCTACCTATAACCTATATTTTGGAAACCCAACTAACTTAAATAGTTTCCAACCATAAAAATATCCATCTTTATCCTAATTCATTGTATTTCGCAATTGTTAAAACTCACAGTAGCCTAAGTTATAACACTGAGTAAGTTACCGTGAGAGTTACTAATTGAATAAGTTCGTCGTTTTAACCTATTCTTGACTGTACTGTACAGTCAAGAACAGGTTAAAACAACAGTGAACTTATTCATTGCAACACAGTTGCCAATGAACTGACACACCATATATGATATATATATTATATATTACACAAGGCATGTTTTTTAAGTAAGTACCGTTTTTAAATTTCTCCGTTCCAGCACCGTGATTGGCATTTTTGACATTGTGATAAGTATGTGCATCTGTTGGCAAGCCTGCGCCAGAAATTCGGCAACAATCGGACGTGTTTACATCCGGTTTCGAGCATTCAAAATGGTGTCGCCAATTGATAATTTATGCCGACTGTGAAGTGCACGTTGTAATTAGATTTTTAAGTGCTAAAGGTATGAAAGCCATTGAAATTCATTGACAGATTATTAGTGAAGTGTTTGGTGAGAACATTGTGAGTGGAATGGTACGCAAGCGGGTAAGGGTATTTTAAGACGGACCCACCAACGTTCATGATGTAACTGACGGACGCACTGGGCGGCCGCTGGCCACTGATGAATTGGTGCATTGTTCATCATGAACGGTGGTGTGGCCATTGGCCATTTCAATGGCTTTCACACCTTTAGCATTTAAAAATCTAATTAAAGAGTGCACTTCACAGTCAGTGGCAGTCTCAATTGGTGGCATCATTATGAATGCTCGAAACCGGATGTAAACACAGCTGATTGTTGCCGAATTTCCGGCGCAGGTTTGCCAATGGATTCACATACACAGCACAAATGTCAAAAATGCCAATCGCAGCACTGGAACGGAGAAATTTAAAAACATTACTTACTAAAAAAAAAACATGCCTCGTACATTTAAATCATTTTTATTCAATACATGGCCACAAAGTCCATTTATTTAATAATCAATCTATTCACAGGTACTAGCCTCCAGTTAAAACCTCTGCCAAGGATTATCTCCCTTGCAAGCTGCTCAACTTCAAGCTGTACTGGCAACCACAATCATTCAGAAGACAGTAATAATGATGCGGTAGGTAGTAATTTTGAATTATTGTCTGATCAAAGATCATGCATGTCATATTAAACTTGTCTCCTCAAAACAAACGTAGTTGGTAATTCATTATTACAAAAATTATGATGCACTTAAGGCGAGTGAACCAGTGAATGACATATTTTGTGTAAATAAAACATCATATAAAGCTATTTGTTTTGCCTAGTCCATCACATTTAGTCTTAGGAGTAATTTTTAAGCTGGATAGGAATCCACCCTGTTACAGGTGCCAATCGTCCTTTTGTAACACCAATTTAAAGTATTCCAACCACATTATCTTCGAGCTTTGTAGCAATCTAAAGCGCTGTCTTTCCGGTTTAGAGAAAGCACTTTAAATTGAGGGCTCAAATTTTGTCTCGGTGATCTATTTTGATTTGCTACAAAATTGTTCCCCTTTTATTGTAGGTACTTGCACAGTTATACAGTTTTGGAATAAAATTAACATATGGTAATTGAATTGAGTCACTGTCATAGTAGGCCTATACTGATTTAAACTACTGATTTATGTCAGATGCGACAATCTATCAAAGCCCAACTCAATGGACAACTTATACTAATGAAGACTGTAGCATATTTTATGTCACACTAACTATTACTGTAACTAAGTTGGGTTTTCCTAGGCGCAGAAGCAGAACGTAGAGAGCGGAGTGCAAAGAAACAATTTTCCACCCCTCCAATAGTTATCCGCTCCGCTTCTTGAAAAACGGTATTAAATTAATGACCTAAGATAAAGAGAAGAGTGGACAAAGATCCAGCTCAAGGAAGAAAATAGTTATTTTGACTGTATCACTCTCTGTTATTGGCTCAACTAAGTTGTCTTAAAATTTGCTACACTTCGTTTATACAGATAGGATGTCTACTTCAGTACTAAAAATAAATGCCTATAACTCCCGTACTTTCAAAGTTGTCTTGTAAAACAATGTATTTATGTTACAGCCTGTTGATATAGAAAATCCTTTTCGAAAAGAAAAAAGGCTATGCATTCTGTGTAAAATGAACATATCACCAGATTATAAAAATGTAAAGTTACTGTCGCAGTTTGTATCAATGTACACTGGCAAGATTTATGGACGCCACATAACAGGGTTGTGTACAAAACGTCAACAGCAAGTCGAAAATGAAATCATCAAAGCACAAAATGCAGGTAAACTTTTGCCCATGGGATATACTTACGCTCCTTTTACACTGTACGGTTTTGACCTTACGGTAACTGTTTTAGTAGTATAAAGCACGATAGCTTTCACACTACACGGTTAAGGCGACAGCAGTTTAAGGTGGTTAAGGTACGGTTTTTAACCTGATGGCGGAATAGTCATTTGTGCAACTAGTGAGAAAAGTGAGCTATTGACTCACTCGAGAGAAATCCTTACTCACGAGCCGTAGGCGAGTGAGGAATGGTTTCTCGAGTGAGGCAATTGTACTTTGAACTCGAGTTGCACATTATACTTTTCCTACAGTTACCATAAAACAAATAAATTTGTGAAGAAACATAACCTATTTTTACACAGAAGTGAACTTTTAATAAAACATTTAATGTGAAGAGACAAATACAACAGTACAACAGCTGACCAGCTGATTTACAGCCAGTGCTGCCAACGCATTTAGCGCGCATATGACGTTGCCTGCGTGTTACGCGCTCACTATTTCGTGCCTTCACGTTGCAAATCTGGAGTGAGACAAAGTAATTAGAGTGAGACAATGTTAACATTGTCTCACTGATGAGCGAATTGGCCACTTTGCTTTCTCAAATCAGTGAGAGTTAACATGTACATTGTTAGGTAACTGTAGGAAAACCATATAGTGTGAAAGGAGCGTTACTTTGGCTTATGATTTCATCCTGAAATAGATGCTAACAATGGTTTTTCTGACATCTTTGAACTGTGATGTTTGATCATCAACAGTGAATTTACATTGTTGAGTTATAATGTTGATGTACATTAAAAGTCTGATAGTTGGAGACTTTGTGGACCAAGGGGAAGTCGAACTATTGAAATGTTGAGGAAGTAATATTGAACAATAACTCATAGGGAGTATTTAAAACATGGGATAAAGCAAACAAATTTAATGAATTGTATAAAACTTGACAAAAATGAACAAGCTTATCAACATACATCTCTGGATAAATCTGTCTAACCATAAGTAAATAGTGTAATACCATTGACTTAATGATTTAGTTTGAGGCACTACAGACTCTGAATCAAAGGCAGCATGTCATGCATTTGCGTCTTGGTGCCACCACTACTTAGTCTTGTGTTGCTTAGTCTATGGTCTTATCTTATCAGTTCACTTCATCCTTATACTGTATACCACCTCGTCCCTTGCTTGGCTTGATACGTTCCACCAAGCACAGATGGGCAAATGCAAGATTTAAACAGGTTGCTAACCTTTTAAACAACAAATATAATATAGGTAATTAAATTTTGTGTTTTAGGCCTGATGCCATACTATTTGAAAGACCCAGCCTTCATGCAAGATCCCCAATTGTTCAACCCTGAAAATCCATTCAGAAATCACCCTTACTAAACATAATTGTTTGTGTCAGTATCTTGTAAGTAGTCTCAAATAAATCTTTCTTTTTCAACTCTTTTTTTCTTATCCACTTGATTCGTAAATCGTTAAGAAAAATAATACAAAATTAAAATTGTTTTATTTAATTGTATTTTTTATGATTTTTTTAAATGATGTATTTTGGAACAGAAGTGCTTAATCAGTGCTATATCTTTTTCATATTTATGTGAGTCATAGAAAATAATATACCTAGGTATAAAAGCCAAACCCATGGAATTAACTTTATTCAGTTGTCTCTAAACACAATTTACTATTTGCATGTTTTGTAGGCCTACTCAAAGAACTGTAGCCTATGCCATTTTAGCAAATTACCCTATTTTTATAAAATTTATGAATCATATTGTAGCTTATGGATTTAGTGAGTTTTGATTTTTAATATGACCTAATTGCTGCCCATACTGTCAAAACCAAAGCAGAGATCATGTTTGGCCTATTTGTATAGATATACAGTAGAACCTTGATAAGAAGACTCTCATGGGGATTGTAAAATAAGACTTGTTATCAAGGTTGACTTCTTATCGAGGTTTGTAATAACATGTAATTAGGGGTAAAATAATTTTAAGGGGATTTGAAAATGACACTTGTTATCGAGGGTCTTCTTATCAAGGTTTCACTGTAATAGGGTCCAAAAATAAAATGAGACCTTAGATTTTGTTCATTTAATGTTGTCACAGTCAATAAAATATTACAGGGACAAAGGAATAAAATTACGTAGGATTTAGATTAATTTAAGTTACACAATCAAAATTCTAGTGCATCAGGTTAAGAGTCGGCAGGAGTCAATAGTTTTGCATTGCTGTTGACCGTCAGATGCTAAGGCTGACAATGCTTTTAAACAATGGTTGTCCTAGAACCGATCGGGAAAAACATGAGTTCACATTGAAGCATATTTCATGCACAGTTTAAGCTTGATTACCAAGCAGAAAATGTTATTTGATTCTTCAATATATTTTCCGTGTGAATTTCTTTTCGGATTTTTAAAACTTTTGTTTTAGAGGTTAAAAAAACCATAGTTTAAGTCAAGATATTTATGTAGTTTGACAAAAAAATAACAATTATTGTGGTTGGCAAATCACATTGACGTTTTCAATAGCTTTAAAATGAGATATTTTGCAACTTTTTATCTTAATAAACAATGCCGTAATAGGCTTCAACCATTAACATTGCCGTTATGTGCAGAAAATCTAAGATGGTTGAGTGGTCTTGCCGACTCTTAATTTACTACCACAAATACTTGAACAGTTCTGTTCAAGTATTCGTGTTTATTACTGAAACGAAAAACTGAGGTTCTTCCAAATCGAACCAATCTAATATATAAAATTCTCGTGTCACAGTGTTTGTCTGCAAACTCCTCCGGAACGACTTCACCGATCGTTATGAAATTTGGTGTGTAAATTCTGTAGGTATGCGAATCGGACGTAAACTATTTCCTGTTTCGAAATTCTTAAAAGGGCTCCGCCCCAGTGGCTCTGGAGTTTCCCATGTTAACCTTATGAGAAATGGAATTAATGAATCTTAACAGCTGTTTCAATTAAACAAGTTGGTTCTGTTCTATGATGTTCAATAGCATTAAAGTTACAAGGATTACCAACAGGGTGCAGCACTATTATTTCTTTTACATTTATGACAACAGCTAATTTGCAACCAAAAGGTGAGTGAGCGTAGCGAACGAGCTTCAAACTGGAGGCGAGTAAGCGTAGCGAACGAGCTAACCTGGAGGCGAGTTAGCGTAGCGAACGAGCTCCAACCAGGACGTGATTGAGCGATGCGAACGAGATCATCTTGAAAATTAAACGTAACGGTACTTTCTTTCCATCGGTCTGTCTTAGGGGAAACCTATAACTTAGGCGATACGAAGTTCGCCGGGTCAGCTAGTTTTGTTATAAAATTAACCAGACAACATAAAATAAATAGTGATCACAGACTCTAACCTCCAATTTATCGATTCATTTGGATTTAAGATGAATTGAATGTTTAACACTAATCATCTTTATAAACCATAGTAGTTACTGAATGACACATATAGTAGAGTTGGTGGTAGGCAGCCCAGCATACGCTTGATTGTGATTGGCTGCTACAATCTCAGCCTTCACCACGCCTTGTTGTTCCTCTTGCTCTGCCTTAGACAGTCGCACGCCCAGCAGCTCTGCCAGGATACGTTGAAATGCCAACATCACCTGCGCAGAAACCAATGCACATTTTTACTCCAAACCTTAAGTATTGTAAGTTGCAATTTTCATTCAATAAAAGTGTATGCTCTTGTTTTTTGTAGTGGCAACTGCAACTACAACACTTGCGGACAAAATGGATGCAGAAAAAGTAAAGCTCTATACAAAATGCTGTTTTTATTTTTGCATAAGTGAGCATTGTTCGTGCCATAATATTTTATGACATACTCGTTACTTAATATCTTGATAATTCTATCGTCTTATGTTAATTAGTTTCTTAAGAGTTTATTCCAAACGGTGTAGACTGGAAAGTTAGGTTTTAAGAAAATAGGTTTCTTAACGGTTTGTATTCAGATCTTTTATTGCTCGATGACGATAAAGTATGGTGGTGTTTAAGCAAGACATTGATTTTATGGGCTTGTTTACACGTTCGCTGCGGCGGTGCGAAGGCCGGTGGCAAGAGTAGCCAATGTGATGCGTAGATAAGTGCGCAAAAATATTTAGATTTAGTTTCATCCAATAGGAGAGGCATGTACTACGTAGTTTTACAAGAACCCAACAGATAGCATCACTAAACAGCAGGCTCTCAGTATTGCCATATGGAAGGAAAAAGCAGGAACGAAATATCCGGATACACCATCAAAAATATCACAAAAAGGTGTCGAGCACAATTTTGAGGTTAGGTTCCTTCCACAATGCTTCAAAGCAGAAATTATTATTATTATTCCCATTCCATTTCACTAAATCGAAGCAAAAACCCCCAAACTACACTTAATTTGGAACAATCCCTTCCTTAGATCAAATAGTCATATATGAAAACAAGTTACAGTATACTAGATTGAAGTATAAAACTGGCACCCGCGCTAGAGGTGCCGATATGGCAGGACGAGAATTCCCGCCCCTTGCACTCAACGTGTTAAGATGTATCATGCAGTAGCACCACAACTCACATTTTCACCAGTGCGGGCAGAGACAGTGTGTGTTGACTGAATTCCATGTTCATTGACAAACTTCATCTGCTTGTCAAGACTTACTGCTCTCTGGTGCTCCATATCACCTGGAATGCAAAGTTTACAAATTCATAAAACTTAATGGCAGAGACATGTATGTTTGGTATTCAATTCACAAATATGCTGGAGTAACTTTGGTAAATTTGTCACACACTACTAACCATTAACAGAGCTGTAGATCTCTGCCATCGTCCACTACTACATATAACACACAATCTACTGCCTTACACATCTCAACTAATCAACAGACTTTACTGTTAACAACCAGCATGTTTATGGAATACCAGTCTCAATAATTCTCTTTTAATCTTGCTTATATTTGACAGCAGGAGGTGATAAAAGATAGTTGGGCACAGGTCATAACTACTACTAAGAGTATAAATACTGAAGCAAATTTAGCTCATAATTATTGTAACATCCTTTGAAGTCATGTTAAACTAATATAAGTTTCTTGGTGGCTGCCGCCATATCCTCTTCTATGATTCATCATATAATTTTAATTTTACACTAAATACAGAACACATGTTGATAATACATTTAACACAAAAAAGGTACTGTACCGTACATTAATTAAATGTGCGTCACGGTGCGTGCAAACGTTGGTCAGGCCAGTGGTATTGCCGTAACATATAATACGGTATTGATTTATTAGATCACTAGCAGAGTACCCGTCCTTCGTACGGGGTTGGCATATAGGTATAAAAGGTTTATTGCAGTTATGCTCATAAGCTTTCTGTTTGCAATGGGGAAGGACACAGTTTGATAACATTTTCTTCTTTAAATTTAAGGTATACTATAGTATTACCGTACACATCTACCATAGCCATAATGCTCTAATACTAAAAATAAATTATTACAAATTTGCAAAATATCACAAATTGTTCATGACATTAAAATCATAAACATAACTGTAATCAATCCTTCTTTGACAGTTCTCATTGCGTATCACATTTTTTAGTTTCTGCTTAGTTCAAATTATATTAGCTGTTTTCATAAATGCAAAAAAATAGTGCTGCACCCTGTGGGTAAATTTTATAACTTTTTAATGCTTTTGCATCATGGTGGAAGGAAAATACATAGGTGTGCTATTCCCGTCATGTTCTGACGTCACTCGGATTGCAGACAAAAGATCACCTGATTGTAACTGTCAAATTAGTATATGTATTTGTTTTGATTTGGTTGTTATTGTTTTTATAATGTATGTTTAAAAAAAAAAACAATAACAATCAAATCAAAACAAATACATACTAATTTGACAGTTACAATCAGATGATCTTTTGTTTGCAATCCGAGTGACGTCAGAATATGACGGGAATAGCACACCTATGTATTTTCCTTCCACAATGCTTTTGCATATCATGGAACAAACTTTTTATTTGAAACAGCTGACAAAATTATTTTATTCCCTTTAAATATGAATACTCATTAGGTTAACATAGAGAACTACAGAGCCACTAGGATAAAAAAGCCAAAAGGATTTTTGAGATAAGAATATGGCTATATGTTAATCGGGAATGTAAGTTATCATTATACCAAATTTCAGCCCAATCCGTCCAGTAGTTAATGTGTGATTGAACTTCAAACAAACACACAAACTTTCACATTTATAATATTAGTAAGATTATTATAAATAAATATCCAGCAGTAGGACTAATGAATACTGATTTGCTCTTGAGTTTAGTTTAAAAAAATGCGTATTGGATATAAAACTAAGTAACAAAATTCTGGAAGAAATGCATTGACCTAAAAATACAGATGTATTAGTTAAGAGAGTAACCCCTTTGGACTCGCAAAGATAGTGACAGAAGGGTATGAAACTTTCTCTACAATAATCATCACGATTTGATTTAACATGCTTTATTATAGATTTATCATCCTTATGGATCGGCTGAAGACAATTTTAATTTTATTTTTGCATATATTATGTAAATGGGTGTCTTGTTGTTTACTATGACCACATTAATTTAAGCAAGGTAGGGGCGAGTGTTTTCCCTCTGAAACCGTAAAACGTTCTGCACAGGTCACATCACCTTGTTTAAGCTAAAATAGTTTTTAAAGTTCCCATAGAAACGAAATATTGAAATAATTTGCAGCTAAACATTTTAAATTTTAGTCTGAACATAAATTTATATTTGTTAACCGAAGATGGATGAAAATAGACAACAAAAGAGTAACTTTACGTTGACAGACAACATAGAGTGCAGAAAACCAAATGTTACTAAGAAAAGGAAGAATCCTTATATAAACTTCACACAGGACTTTCTGGCAAACTTCTCTGGTGACAATGTATCTCAGCAGGCTAAGATCTGTGAAGCAGGTGAGAGATGGAGACAGATGACTGTGGAAGAGAAACAGCCATTCATTGAACTGGCTGAGAAGGCAAGGAGGAAAAGAAGACGATTCATTTAGTACCTATTTAATATTAATTTATAACTTCTATGTTTCTGTTATATATTCTCAAATTTGATTGTCAATATACCTATCTTAGAAAATCTGGGCTGGCATTATCAATTTAAGGGAAATAATGATTGACTATTTAGTATTTTCCAATCTTAAGAATGGTTCAGAGTAGGTCCAAAAATTAAGGAGAAGAAAATTAAATGTGCGATTTTTATTGAAGCATGGAAATTTGCTCATTGCATAATAAGTTCTACACTAACTGTCTGCTTAAGTTCCATAACAGTTTTAAATCCCACAATGTTCTAAAATTATTCCTGGCTTTTGAGTAGATTGACATGCTTTGCAAGAATTTCATAATAGATATCCCTACAATAGTATGTCACCTAAATAAACTAGAGGGAGGTTTTAATTCAACTGGATTGTCTACTAGTACTACTTGATGAACAGACCTCATATTTTTATAGTGTGATGTAGCTAAGATTGATTGTGCTTGCATGCAGACTATATAGGCCTAACTCAAACAAACATTTATTGGCGATGAGAGCCAGAAGAGGAGGTTTTCCAAATATACATCTGGACGCTGCTTTCCACCAGTCAGTGAGACGGGTGAAGCTTGTCGCGTTGGTGATGTCAAACACCAACAAGATAACCTGAAATGACAACAACACGATTAACCAATGACAAAATACTAGTGATGATCTTAAAGTAATACTGATGCAATTCTTAAAGAACTTACTTGTCCAGTCAAATCATCCGAGCCGTCCACTTTTCATCTTAGGAGGATTCTCCCAGGGTTTATGCTGTCCACAAACTAACTGCCTTCGAATTTCAGTTAAATTGATATCAGAAAACTATATCTATGGCTCTTTTACTTGATACGCACTGTGTGTGATAGTTATCAATCAGATTAAGGGACGAGTGTAACAATGTTTTTGAACCAAAGGGTCTTGTACATATTACTAGTGGGTATGTTGCCTTGTGTATTATTTATAGGCATTGCTAATATTGTACAAGTTGGTACAGCTCGTTACATCTAAGCTGGCACTCGGCCGATCGCTACTAGTACGTACCTATTTCGAAAACATTATATGTCCCGTCGTGCGGGTTGCATCAACTGTCCTTGCGACCCATATGAAGGGGCTCAAGTACATAATACAAGGGGAGTCAACCCCGTTCCGAGGCAACAGAAATGTTTGCAGTCCGGTCTTTTCCCTACCTCCACCCTCCTCCTGCCTGCACTGCCCGCGCTAGGCCAAGTGCCAGCTTAGGTGTCACGAGCTGTACCAAATATTAGCATTAATTATTGAAGTGATTCTTATCTCTTAAAGTTCTCTATATAGTTCACAAGAATTTTCATTTCAAATTTATGTTCCAAACAAAAACGTAGGCCCTAGCAGTCTTAAGCGTTATAGTATAAAATGTAGCTTATCTAGGCCTATAAGTTTACTGCTATTTTAAAAATAACGGAACTACGTAAGACACCATACCTGACTTCCATGCAGATAGTTTTTAAACATTGATCCCTCTAGAGCTTGACCGCCCAAGTCCCACATTATAGCTCGCACAAGTCTGTTTCCTTGGATTGTGGTTCTTTTCAAAAAGAAATCCACTCCAGGAGTAGGATAGTATTGGCGACCAAATTCTTCATAGCAAAATCTTGTGACCAAAGAAGTCTGAAAGTCAATGATTGGTTTAGTCGATAATCTTATATACTAATAGGCAAACAGGTTTCTTGAAAATCTTTTTTCTCAGCTTGTGTGCATCACAGGGAAAATATATGCATACTGTTAGAAAGATATTTATCTGTAGATGTGCAGAATTCCTTTATAGATTAAAAGGCTTAAAAATATAAGTAAAAAATGAATTTAAAATTAAAAAAAAATTAACATATGTCTTAACTTATGGGTTGCCATGCTGGTGACAAAATATAAACGGAAATGAAAACAAATGGAAGAAATTCCGATCACATGTTTTATTTAAACAGTTTTAGGTGAAAGACCACAGGGCGATCTCTAGTGTGTTTTAATGCACAACACTGAAATTCCAGTTCCTCAAAATGTTTATCCTTGACAAAACAGTGACAGTTAAAAAACTACAAACTTAAACTTGTTGAACTGCCAGCACCGTGCTATTTTAATCAATAGATATCGTTATTGATGTACTACTCGACCTATGCTGTAATTTAAGATTTTCTGCTGACTCTTTGTGAACCCTCCTCAACAGTATGATGGAGAAAAATTATATTTGTTTCTTAAAGTAAACTTATGTAGGCTAACAGTAATTATGTGTTCAAAGCTGTGTTCGATTATCTGCAATAGTTAAGAAAAAACACCATTCCCTGACTTAGAACAATAAGGAATGACAGCCTAGCTCTATAAACATTTGTCATTTTAAATTGCCTCTTTTTGGTGTTAACTTACCATACCTAAATAATGTTCGTGCTCTCAACAATATTTCCTTCCTGACATAAAATACTCGTACTTAGAACACAAGCCACATAAGTTACCGTTTTCTCTGCAGTGGCCTCTTTTTACTACAGGTTTGGGAAACACCTGAATGTGATATACCAATTCATTATGTGAATGTGTATTTATTTTATCAAAATGAAGATAAAATTCAAATCAGTCACAACTTAAATGAAATTTACCTTTCCAACTGAAGAATCGCCCAACATTACAAGTTTTACACATTTTTCTGGTAAGTCATCATCCATGCTTTTGAGGTGTTTTGTTTAAATCTGCTGAATAAATTCTGCTAACACTTTTTTACAAGGAATCAAATATTTTAACTATGATTTCCTGAAATTGAAAACTGAAATCGCCATTTGAGGATGGAATTTTACAAATGCTAACCTTATTATAAGTTATGAGATGGTGTTATCTGTTTGAATATCATTGGCTACAGCTAATGGTTTTCATATTCTGTATGTTTCAAATACAGTATCTACAGTGATAACTAACGTATTAACACGTTGGGTGCTGATGACGGGAATTCCCGCAATTGCTTAACATTGAAATAAATGCAACTTTTATGTTCAAACATGTCGACAGCACAAATAGTGTTAAAAATTCCTTGTTGCTTGGTTAAATTTCATATTTAGGTAGATAGAGGTAGCCTACATTCTTACCCATTCCTCATACATGGGTTTAGCCCCTACAAGGACCTTAAATTATTAGCTACGTCATTTGTTTCTTAAATCTTACTTTGGAATGAAAATAATAAACAATCTCCAATTATTATGTATTTAATTTATTCTTGAATCAAACAAAGCTAACCAGTGAATCAGTGCTAACAAAATGAAAGAAACTACATACAGCCTAATTTGTTTGTTTATTGTTGTTATGCTTTTACGTTGCCATGGTTACCAATTAAATTAGTTGAACGAAGAACGTCGGGAATATAAATGTTTTAACATGGTTAGGCTTTTAGCTGAGACATTGATTAAATATTTATAATAAATTGAAAATAATACTGAGTATTATTAAACCATAATCAAATTATACTAAATAGAACATCATGATATTCTACGTTCATTAATTTATATTATTAGTTATCGAATTGCAGTAGACTTTATTAAGCTATAATATTTACGATCGGAGACCTATTCACCCCTCGGAATGGGCACACGGGAGGGACTAAGGCTAAAGGTGTAGTGACGTCATATCTCTGGTGGATAATTTCTTCTCTTTCTCTTGAGGCGACCATTGAGATATAGATTATAACTGGAGGATTATATAGTTATAGATTATATAATATTATTAGTATAGCTCAGTGGAGGCGACACGATTACCGTAACGAAACGATGTGTTTTCAGCGGCGTTTGTGGCATAGTTGGTAGCGTTTCGGTTTTGCAGGTCCTGGGTTCGAATCCCGCTGGCAGCACTAACTTTTTGTCGACAAATTTTTCATATCAGCAAGTTTGGTTGGTTAGGTTAGGTTATGGCAGTTTAATTTTATAATACTAAATTTTAAAATTAATTTTATAATTAATAAAAAATTATAAGTAATTATTAATTAGATTTTTATCTTATATAGTTTTTATATTATCAGCAAGTCTGGTTGGTTAGGTTATGTTATGACAGTTAAATTTTAAAAATTAAAAATTTATTTTATAATTTTAAAACAATATTTTATAATTAAAAAGTTAATTTTATAACTAAAAATTAAAAAAAAAAAAAAATTATTTCAACTTAGCAGTTCTAGCGGCGAACGCTGACACTACAAGATATGTTAGCCTTAGTCCCTCCCGTGTGCCCCACCACCCCTCGTGCTTTAAGGCAAAAAAGATAACCTGCTTCAATATTAACACCGTTAGGCATGCTATATTTAAGTAGACTTTCATCCCAACGCCCAGGGTCAATAATGACTTTTACTTTTTAAATACAGCAATCTGGTTAGTTTTCTGTTTAACGGATTTTGAAAGTGCTTAACTCTTCCATACAGCAGCTGGAACCCATGTGCAGGTTGTTGACGTGCTACAACACTTTTGTTAAGTATATCTCCATAGACGTATGATCAATGATGACACAAAAAGTCACGGCCACCTTTAACTCTATAGGCCGCGGCTTTTGAAGTGGCAACGTCGCAAGTAGGGTTGTATGCAACAGATGTTTTTTTTTTTAAGCAGCTAATAAATGGCATTTGTGTATTTACGAAAGCTTGGTTACTGTAGGACCAAGAAATTTATGTTCATAAATTGAAATTTAATGAATAAAATGCGAATTGATTAGGTGATGTCACCTGCCTGCCATACTATCTTATGGGACGTCTTGGCACTAAACATAACAACACTCGTGACGTTGCCAATTAATTCTACCAGGCCGCGGCCTGGAGTTAAAGATGAACGGGCAAAAAGTGCTTTGACTGTAGCAGCTGTCGGTGAGTCCACGGCCACCTTTAACTCCTAACTGTAACCAACGGAGCGGAGACCATGCATTTGGCTTGCTCTATATACAAGATAAGATCATACTCATCAGGCTACGTACTGTCATAGATAAAACATACTCCTGTACTGTATTATACTATAGTCCGTGAGGTTGGCGAAGGATTCTGAGGGACTAACCGACTAACGTCCCTTTCACCAACGCACGCGCACTCGCAAGCCCTACTTACCCCACGGCGGGTGACCCATGTGTGTGTGTGTAGGAGTGTCTCTGTGCGTGTGAGGGCTGTAATCCCTGAGTTCTTCGCCAACCTCATGTACTATAGTAGGCCTAAAGAATTCCAAGGGAATTTAAAGTTATTCTCATCAGGGCATGATAAATTAATTCATTCTTTTCCCCAAACAAGATGTGTTGAATGTGTTACCTGAGTGTCACAAATTTGTTTGAACTAAATTGAAAACAAATTACCAACATTTTGATTTCTTTCTTTCTTACTTAACAATTTAAACCATATAATTTGGGCCTCATAGGCTCTATTGTAGCTATCTAAGGGGCTCATGTTGCTTAGTAAGTGTTAATTAGGATGAGAGCGCAAAAAAGTCTTCCACAAGACGAAGATTATATTCTTCTCTACTGCTTTTATAAGACTGTGTTTCACAGTCCCATCCGATCCTACTGCCTTCCAAGATTTCGTGAGGTGGCGGTGACACATTGCGTAGCAGCTGGGTGGTGCCCACACTGCCATAGGCGAGCCACCTCGCTCAAGCTTGGAAGGCAGTTAAGGACCAGATGGTTTGCATAGTGATAGCTGTTTTAATATTATTTTGTCTAATCAGGTACACTATAATACACAATATTTGGATAAGTTACAAGGGTGAAATAAAGTATATAGGTAAATTAAATAATTACAAACATTCAATAGAATTTATTGTATGATAGTAGGAAGATTATAAAGCAAGACGCAATATATAATATAGAATTGTGCGGTAGCTTCAATTTCAACAAGTTGTGTAATAGATAAATATTAGACTCAAATACAAGATATTTACACTTGAAATACAATCAATATGATTTTATATAAAAAAAAGGTTAGTTTTGTTTAACGAAAGGCTCTAGGCCAGGATTTTAAATAGTAGAGAAAGGTTTATACACAAAAAATATTTTTCAACCCATCGATTATATATCTGATGAATAGATGTTCAGGATCTTTCAATTTTTTGATTCATTTTTTTCAATAAAATATTTTTGTTTAGTTTTGAAAAATAACCTGCAATAATAGAGGTTTGGAAGTAATTCACATCACAGCGTCAGCTGGCTTGTAATTACAAATATTTTAAAGGACTAAGTGCACCTGTTGCTCGAAATCGAGCAATTGCAAAGTATTACAGGCGTTATTTCAAAACAAACAACACTCATATTTTCTGAAAATTTAAAAGAGTAGGCTTAAACATAATGTAATCGATCATTCCACTCCAGTTATCAAAACTGAAAACGAATGCTCTTGTGTGTATCATGTGTTTGCTATGAACAGCTGTATGTAAAAATTATTTGTTTGTTTGAAAAAATAACTTTTCTTCATAAGAATTACATTGGGATTTTGATGGCCTGTGAGTGGGACAAAGGCCGAGGACATTTATTACAGGAAATAGTGAAAGGTTGCGTCTATACAAAAAATACTTAATTTTGACACATAGTTTGTAAAAATATATCCATTTTTTAACGGAGGAGTAGTGTTTCATAGAAATCGCCTTCACATATTATATAAAAGAACTAAATCTTACTAATATTATAAATCTGAAAGTTTGTGAGTTTGTGTGTATGTTTGTGTGTGTGTTTGTGTGTATGTTTGTGTGTGTGTTGCTCAATCACGCATAAACTACTAGACGGATTGGGCTGAAATTTGGCATGATGATAGCTCACATTCCCGATTAACATCAAAGCATATTCTTATCTCAAAAACCCTTTCGGGCTCCGCCCCAGTGGCTCTGTAGTTCCCCATGTTAATCTTATGATTTTTCATATTTAAAAGGAATTAATGAATCTTAACAGCTGTTTCAATTAAACAAGTTGGTTCTGTTCTATGATGTGCAATAGCATAAAAGTTACAAGGATTACCAACAGGGTGCAGCACTATTAATTTTTTTTTTAATTTATGACAACAGCTAATTTGCAACCAAAAGGTGAGTGAGCGTAGCGAACGAACTTCAACCTGGAGGTGAGTTAGCGTAGCGAACGAGCTAACCTGAAGGCAAGTGAGCGCAGCGAACGAGCTCCAACCTAAAGGTGAGTGAGCGTAGCGAACGAACTTCAACCAGGACGTGAATGAGCCATGCGAATACTTATGAAGTTAAACGGGGCGAAGCCCGCGGGTACAGCTAGTATTCCATAAAAATAAGTTACAAAAATTTAAACAAAAAAATGATCAAAGCAAACTGCATCACGGACATTGAACAAATTACAAATATTTTTAACGATGTTTCTATATAAACCCAATAGAACTACCGGTAATTCATAACCGAGCAAACTACATCACGTAGATTAAACAAATTAACAACACAACTAATATATTACAATCTCTTTCAAAATACCAATGCATTTTTCAGAAGATAAAAAAAACTTTTTACCCATGTATCAAGTCCAACAACGCAGCGGGCTACGATGAAATTACAGGAAGACTGCTAAAATATGGCAGAGAAGAAGAAACAGAACCTCTACTTCATTATTATAATTATCAACACCTCACTCACAGAAAATAAAATACCTAAAAACTTAAAAATCTGCAAGATTTATCCAAAATTCAAAAAAGGAGATAAATAATACTGGAAACTATAGGCCATTATCTAACTTACCAGCAGTATCCAAACTATTAGCAAGAGAAATCTACGACAAAATTATAAACCACCTAGAAACAAACACTTACAAATTGCCAACATGGCTTCCGGAAGAAACGAGGAACGAACACTGCAATTGCAAAACTTTGCGAAGACATAGCAAGCATCTGGGAAGACAGGGATAATGCATCATTATGGGTGGGACCATAATAATACCTAAAGATGGAGATAAAAACAACCAACAACCCATAACTGGAGCAGTAGAACAAGCAACAACAATATGCTACAAACTAAATTTAAAATTAAACACAAGTGAAACTAAACATGTATATTTTAAACACAAGAAACTACTAATTGCCAGACATTCATTAATACACCAGACACAAAAACAATACAAATTTGTCACAAGACAGATTTTAAAAGTTAAGCGACACCCCAACATAAACAGGATATAAATGCATAAATCTCCTACCAAAATTTAAAAATTAAAAATGTTTCAATTCACAACACATTTGTAGTTTGTACAAACACTAAAATCATACTACTCAACAAATGAATACATACAAGAACACACTTCCACACACCTACATTGGGCTTGTTGAAAGGTTGGCAAGAGGACGAAGAAGAGGAAACTTTTACGACTCCCCAATCCGAATTCCCGCCGATTGTGGCGAAGAAAAAAGAGGTAAATGTAAAGTTCATGAGGCATTAACATCAGTAAAAGTAGACTAAATAGAACTGTAATTACTAGACTTATTTATAACCAGTAAACTTTAATTTATAAATTAGGCCCTATCCCTGCCCTCCCTTTCACAACTTCACGCTTAAGAGCACTTAAGTCTTGCATACAGGTGATTGGATTGGTTTAGACATCTATTTCAAATATATAATCAATGCTTTAGCCCATGATGTACTAGGGAGACAGTGCTTGCAAAACCATTTATTTGATTTAGGTAGTGTTATTAAGGCACAAGAGTTGAGATTATATAAAGCGAGGCAGCTGAGGCATGATACACTGTTTCCTCCAGATGCAGCATTGCAGAGAGGGCAGGGCCAAACCGCTTCATTTTTCTTCATCTGTAAAATAAATGATTTTTCAGTGTAGCAGATAGCGTGTGGATATTTATAAATAGGCTACTTACAGTTTTCGCAATCCTGTTATGTTGTTCTGTTTCAAGTGTGTCATGCAGAATACCAGATTGTGGTGGCTCTCCTGATTTAAGAATGCGCATGCAACTTTTGACTCTGCCCTAAAGCGCATATTCTAAGGCCCCGTCCTAGCTGAGCAGCAACAGCGACATCGCTCCTGTCGGTCGCGCTACAAGCGCTTCAAGATACATGTTTGTATCTAGTAGTGCTACACCGGCGACGCGACAAAGTGGCATCCACCACAGCTGCCTCAGTCCATGTTGCGTGCCTAGTCGCGCCCAGGGCCGGCGAGAGCTGTTAGGGCCCCTGAGCTTTGAGTAATCCTGGGCCCCCTCTATTTTCCTGACTTAGTCCTGCCATTTTGTTACACAAATAACAAAACATTTCTTAAAATCTTGATACTGTAGTTTGATTAATTAACGTGCTCACAGTTCCAACTTTATTCAAGTAAAAAAACTAACAAGTCAAGACTTGAATTATGCAATTCAAGTAAAAAATTACTTAGTGAAATGAAAAACTATCCTAAAATTTTTGACTTTGGCAGATTAAATGTACAGTAAAAATATTACATTTGACAGGGCTGGGCCCCCTTCGGAGCCCTGGGCCCCGGGGCTCTGGCCCCCCTGCCACACCCTCTAGCCGGCCTTGGTCGCGCCGCTCAGTGTGGACACACATTTTGTCTTCGACAGCAGCTACCGTTGGTCACGTCGCTGTTTTCGCCCAGCTAGGACGGGGCCTAAAGCACTGGAATAACGGCATGGCACCCTCAGCCCTGTTTGTTTGTACATGACATTAGTCTTATGTAATTAATAACGGCATGCCACCCTCAGCCCGGTTCGGTTGTTCTGCCATAAGACTAAATGACATGTAGTCATGTAAGATCTGGCCGCCGTCCTTACTAAGCAAGTGAGGATTCAAATAATTCATAACTGAAATAAATTATCCGACATTTTTTATCGTGTATTGTCTTATGTACTCATTAGAGTAATTTTAATGAAATTTCACTAAAGAATAATAAAATTTAATTTTTTGTGTATTGTTGGGAGGGCGTCGTCCGAGGCTAGCCACCACTGCTTTGTAGTGTACTTAAATTTGCAAACGGGTAAGAGTTATAAAGCAGAATTGCATCATAAAGTCATTTGACTAATCTTTACGGTTAGCTGACCTATTTCCTGTTGAGTTAATGTCAGCAAAAAAGAGTATCTACTTTAAACTTCAAAAAGATATACGTTTTTAAGATTAATTAGGAATTTAAATAAATTACCTGCAACTTTTCTTCCAAAGACATCCACCCATCCTCAGTGAAATAGTGTTCGATTAAATTTATATCTACTCTTGAATCCAGCAAGACATGCTGATGGAATGCTACTAGGAATAGTTTGTACTTTGTCTTCTGTTATTTGTACATTTCTTGCATCCTCTTCAGAGATAAACTAACATAGCATCTGTAGGTATCTTTCAGGAGTTGTTTTTTTTATGAAACGGCAAGGCAGAGCTTACTCTTCTTTTCTTCGAAGGCAACCCAACAACAGTTAGATCACTGCCCTTAGGCTTACCAATTCTTTTTAACTTTGGTGGCTTGATGGGGATGTTTTGTAAAATTATTGATTGATCTGGACTTGTATCAGTGTCTATGTGGGTGGTGTATTGTTTGTCTGCCAAGATTTTTTCTGCTTCTATGTCATTACCAGTAACTTTAAAATAATGGTGCTCAAGTAAAATCTGATACTCAGTTGGATCATTGGTTTGCCTAAGTCCAACATCAGCAGTTTCTTCTTCAACATCAGCAGTGTCTTCTCCATCATCAGCAGTTTCTTCTCCAACATCAACTTCAGATTCAACGGGTCTAACCGAAACTTCTACTTGTTTTCTCCACATTTCAACTATATCTTCCAATACTTTTAATCTTTGGGGAAACACTCTTGATGAAGATTCTGAAGCCAAAGAAGCAACTTGTTGAAATTTGGCCATCACAAGTTTGAATTTTTCTTGTTGGCTTAAAACTCTTTTAATACGCACAATGCTTTGATCAAATGAAGATGATAGTGTGGTAGGTGATGGCCGCAAACTGCTATTGTTAACATAATAATCTTCCAAATCGTCATCTTCTTTTTCATTTTGAGCATTCAGATTGTGTATATCTTTTAATGTTGAGTTTTCATGTGGGCTTTGTTCACCCTCTGTCTGTAGTTCTTTGTTTACTTTTAGCTTTAACATATGATTTCCAATTTTTTTGACAGAAGGCTCAAGCTGCCTCTGTCTTGGTAGGCGAAAAAAAGTAATCTGCAAATAATAAAATCCTGTTAGCATTGATGACATGAGAACTACACTATAAGTAGAATCAATCTTTTTTAATATTATTCGGCAATCCGGAAGCTAACATCTACAATGAACTTATATCGACCGTATTGAAAATTTTGCATTGCTGACAAGACGTCCCTTTTCAGCCAGAGCGAGGGCGGCACCCCCAAAGCCAACTCTATTGAAGACAGGTGGAAAGAAGGAGCGAGAGCACCTAACACCTGAGGATGCCGGTGGCTAGAAAAAGAAGACGAGGACAAAAGAGGGAGAAGGGTCAAGTGTTTCACAGAAAGCAACGACTATCACAGTACAAAAATCATCGATTATTATGAATGTTCCTTTTAACAGGAAAGTACCAAGTTTCAAGATAAGGTTTAAGACGAGAATATCTAAAACCTTAGCGAACAATACGATCAAGGATACAGGACGATAATTCTCAACACCAGATACTTACTAACAGATTTGAAAATTGGAAGGTACATTAGATGTCTTTAAATGGAAATTCTAGAGAACATACAGATGGATTTAAAATAAAACAAAGTGGTTCGGCAACCAGATCATAGCATCCCTTTACTACGTGGATCTCATCACCAGATGACTTATCCGACTTTAAGGAGCTCTTTCACCTCTCTTGTAGGCCGTGAGCCGACATCGGCCATTTCGCAATCGTATCATATTGCAGCTTAAAAATAAATACCGGTAAATAAAAACTTTTTGGACAATTTTTTATACCGTATTCTTTATTATTAGTAGGCTAATAGGATATAATTTAATTTAAAGTTAAAATACTGGTAGAATTAAAGATCCGCATAATAAATTAAACATAGGGCATGGGGGTGGAACCCAAAAATGATAGTCGAAAGAGTTAATTGTGCTTTTTACCCAGGGCCGTGTCCAGCTTTGGCAGGCCGTGGTAAAGATGTTCAGTCGAGCCCCCACGCTGTACACAGTAAACTTATATCACCACACTGTACACAGTATGTTATGGCGGGGCCCGGCCCAGTAAAATTGTTCACAAACATCGGTCTGAGTAGCCTACGGCCCTGCTTTTACCTCATCAATATAGAAAAGTAACAAGTATAATTACTTTCAGTCAGATTGACATTACAATCTGTGCCAATTATGTTGGGTTTGTTGAAGCTATCTTATCATAAACCGAGGAAAAGTAATCTGCGTAAAGTTTTTGTAGCCCACCTAATTTCTTGCCCCAAAGAATAATTTCAAATATATACATTGGGCCTTTATACATTATTTTTTAGTCCTAGAAAGGTATCGTCATACAGCATGGGGTATCAATATGTAAATTTGAAGTACATAGGAATTGCATAGTAAGGTATCGTCATACAGTGTGACACTAAGGGTATCAATACATAAATTTGACGTACTGCCGGCCGTTTTGCCATACACAAGTAGGCTATTTTACTATACACAAAAGGTATTAAGTTTGACGTATGTGTTCTAAGAAACTGACTAGCAAGTGCATAAAGAAACACACTACGACCAAACCAAGGCAGCCATCGCAAGGCAAATGACTGCTGAGAGCACTGCCAGGAGGAGGGTATTGTCGGTTGAGGAGGTGGGTGGTGAGACGCTAAAATGAACTCGCACTACGTCAAATTTATGTGCGATACCCATCTAGGGTTAAATTACACACATTTACACATAAAAAACAACTACATTTGGTAAGATATAAGAAATGTTTACCTCATCTTGAGAATGTGTGTGCTGGTCAATATAAGTAACAACATCAAGAGTTTTCCCATTTTCAGAAACTCGAAGCTTCATTTCAAATGGGCACTGCTGTCTAAATGTCCTGGAAAAACCACATAATGCAACATTAACGATTGATCCAAGAAAGTAAGTGGTCAGCAAAATTACCCCTGTCGCAGAAAACCTGCACACTAAGTGAATTTTCATTTACTGTACTTGATTGGATTTACCGGTACTCTAAAAAATCTCCTTAAAATATTACATTTTAAGTTATTTCCTTTGTAAATAGCATTAGTTTAACAAGTAGGCCTACTTAGGTTTGCTGCAACATAGAGGGTCAAAAAGTTTTTTTTTTTGTAAAATTTTTATTCAGTTTAGTATGAAATAAATGCATTTTCCAAATTTAAAAATGTTAATTAACTAGCAAACGAATACATAAAAATAACATGGGAATTTTAAGCGTAGGCCTACATATTTTTGAATTTTCTACTTAACCAATACAACAGTACAGTCATATTATGTTGTTTTATAGCGTGTAAGCTATTTTGAATTTATATTTGAATTTGCTGGTTTATTTGATTATGTTAGTGGTGTCAGTTAAATTAGCACTTGCGTTATATGTGAGACAAACTTGCGTTATATGTTGGGACGTTGCCACGTTTAACAGAGATCAAAATGTGAACTTTCTAGTGGATCACAAAGTTTTAAAAGGACAAACAGAGTGTGGGCGGTTCGGTGCAATATTATAATTAGACAGAGAAAAACTAGAGTTTTGTTGCAACCGAAAGGCTTCATTTCAGAAACAAAAAAGACTCAGTGCAACTGGAAGAGGAGTGCAAAAGTCGGCTCTTTTTTGGATTGATCAAAGATCGATTTGGTTAAGTTGTGGCGGATGGTAATTTACATTTTAAATCACAATCCACCTCGTCAAATCTTTTTGGGGAGCAGTTTAAAATTAGGACCAAATACAGTAGTTGATCGGTTTAGTTGTTACAGAGAAGTATTGATCCATGACAAGAACAGATCAAAGATCGGCGATCCGGGTTGTGTAGTCGAGATCGATGAGGCCAAGTTGGGCAAGTGTTTGAGTACAAACGAGGCAGGATCGTGAAAGGAGAGTGGGTGCTCGGTGGAGTGACGCGAGGTACGAAGGAGGGATTCTTTATCCCAGTACCTGACCGTACCAGGACAACTCAGGTAAGATTAGTGTTGGCCAATGTCCAACCAGGTCCAATTACAGTAACAGACTACTAGCGCGTGTATTATTCGCTTAAAAGCTAATTTAAATACTTAACCCAGGGTGTCTAGTTTATTTCCATTATAAAATTCAAGACTAATTCCAGACTTTTCAAGACTAATTCCAGATTTTTCAAGACTAGTTTTTTCAACAATGAATGGGTGTTGATACCAAAATGTATCGATTCTCGATTCTTGATACCGATACCAATTTTTATAGCTTAACCAAATTTTATGAATAATACTACACCAACCCCTGTCTTTGTCATAAAGTAGTATTATGATAATGTAGTGTTTTCAAGTAAAGAAATAATGCAGCAATAAAAAATTCTAACTAGCAAATTTGGTTTTTTTTATCATGAAATCTTCCACGTACCGTACGTTTAGACATCATCATTGACTGCAGCGATTACAGAAACATGATCGTCGTCGTCCGCGATCACGGCAAAATCAAGAACATTTCCCGCGGCCTTGTAGACACCAATGACATCATCGTCGTCTCCCGCGATCTCAGAAACGTCATCGTCATCGTCCGCGATCGCGGCAAAATCATGAACATTTCCCGCGGCCGTGTAGACATCATCGTCGTCTCCCGCGGTCACGGAAACGTCATCGTCGTCTCCCGCGATCACGGAAACGTCATCGTCATCTCCCGCGGTCACGGAAAGGTCATCGTCATCTCCCGCGGTCACGGAAACGTCATCGTCGTCGTCCGCGATCTCGACAAAATCATGAACATTTTCCGCGGCCGAGCAGATATCATCGTCGTCTCCCGCGGTCACGGAAACGTCATCGTCGTCTCCCGCGGTCACGGAAACGTCATCGTCATCTCCCGCGGTAACGGAAACGTCATCGTCGTCGTCCGCGATCGCGACAAAATCACGAACATTTCCCGCGGCTGTTTAGACATCACCGTCATATCCCGCGGTGACGGAAACGTTATCGTCATCGTCCGCGATCACGGCGAAATCATGGTCATTTCCCGCGGCCGTGTAGACATCATCGTCGTCTCCCACTGTCACGGAAACGTCATCGTCGTCGTCCGCGATCGCGGCAAAATCATGAACGTTTCCCGCGGCCGTGGTCATCTCCCGCAGTCACGGAAACGTCATCGTCGTCGTCCGCGATCGTGACAAAATCATGAAAATTTCCCGCGGCCGAGCAGATATCACCGTCATCTCCCGCGGTCACGGAAACGTTATTGTCGTCGTCCACTATCGCGGCAAAATCGTGAACATTTCCCGAGGCCGTGTAGACATCATCATTGGCTTTTGCGGGGTACGTAAACGCAAGACGACAATCGCGGCAAAATCATGAAAATTCCCGACTTTGAAATCAAATTTAAGACTAAATCCCGACTTTTCAAGACCATTTTGAAATTCAATACTAATTCCCGACTTTCCCGACTACTAGACATCATCGGGCGACTACTAGACATCAGACGGTTGATGGTTAACCGTCAACCGTACCGGTCACCAAAACTTTGTTGACCCGGCTACCAGTGCGCATTTGGCGTGACATCCGTGGAACAGTTCCAAAATACAGACGATTGTCCAAGCATTTTCGGGAATACTTGGCTGAATATATTTTCAAAAAAAAGGTATTCCCCAGCCTACCACACTCACAGCTTTTTTGCCGCTACAGGAGATCTTTACAACCCGTCAAACTAATGTAAGTAATACATATTCTATTATACCTAGGGACGTTCCGATACGATACTCGGTGTCGATATGGTATCGGAAATGTGGTATCGATACCATCTCAGTATCGGACCAAAAGTATCGGAAAAATAAACTAGATTGGTATCGATACTTTGAGTATCGGAAAAATAAACTGGACAATGAACACAGAACGAAAGCTTGAAAAAGCAGGTTGCACTTTCATAAGCAGCACAAATGAAAGCGCTAGTAATTTATCAATAACCCGGTTTATTGAATTTATAATATTATTTATCGAACTAACTGGGTTCGATAGGTGCAAGTTATTTCTGATGAATCGGTCTGTTTATTCTTAGTTAGCATCAAAAGTTAGCCTCTCTAGACGTGACACACACAATACACTATCGCTGGTTGCTGACTAAACAGAACAGAACGCAGAACGCTAGAGCACTTGTGACTTATGCTGGCTATTGTGACTGTCGGTCAGCGGCGTAATCTATTAAGTCAATCTAATAAGGGAAGTTTTTAAAAATCTCGACCGTAACCTATATTTTATATTGTAATTTTACCCGAAAAACATGTAGATAATTATTCATGACTATTGAACTTAAAACAAAATTGTATTTCTTAAATAAACTCCTAATTCTGTAGGAACTACTTTTCCCATACCGATGTTCTGATACTCCGTTTTCAGTATCGAACCCACTACAGAATCAAACGTTTTGATACCGATACTACTGGTATCGGACCCAAAGTATCGATAAATACTGGTATCGGTAGTATCGGAACGTCCCTAATTATACCCTTAAAAACGCATCTAAGTTAGGTTACCTATGTTAGATTAGGCTGGGATAGGTTATATAAGTTTGGGTTGGATTAGGTTAGGTTGCGTTAGGTTAGGTTGGATTATATTAGGTTTGGTTAGGTAAGGCTGGGTTAGGTAAGGTTATTAATAAAAAGGGTATTGTTAGTAACCAAACCCAACATAACCTAACCTAACAATATAATATAACCTAACCTAACCAAATGTAACCTAGAATATAATCTAACCCAAACTAACTTAACTAATTTAATCTAACCCAACATAACCTAATAATCTAATCTAACCTAACCTATTATTGGCCATTTTGGAGCTAACTCGATTTATCGACAATTTTCTGGACGTATCTCTGTTAATATCCACCGGATCTTGAAAATTCTTGCATATTCTTGTTCAGCTCACTCTATATGTAGCCTACCGGTTAATTTGAGTACCCTCATGACCCATTTCCGCAAAAAAGGTTTAATACCATATAGGGTAATTATGTCAACTTCCGGTCAACGCTCTAAAAATAATTTTTTTTTACTGTTCGTTTAATAGCGCAGATTCCAAAAATGTTAGGCTAGGCTAGTCATTTTTTGCGAAAAAGCAGAAAAAACACTTTTCATGTTGTTGGTAGCATTTGATAAAGTCCAAAATTTGAGTCATAACTCATTTATTGAACCAAAATAACAAATACAAAATTTGCATTGGTCATGTCAATTAATAGCTTAGAACTAAAATTAAAATAAACAATAGACAATGGTAAACTTACTTCAATAAAACTATACATCTTTCAACAAAAAACTAACTAAGTTAGAACTAAACCCATCAGCGACACAATCTCGAACACTGTAGTAACCCTTGGCCAAGAGTACTTTTTGATTTGCTTTTTAAAGCTGTCCAAGTCCGACTCCAGCTGAAGGGAGGGAGGGAGGAGATTAAAAAGTTTAATGCCATTGTAATGGAAGTGTCTCTTGAAAAATGTACTGTAGTTGAATGAGATGGCAATTTAAGATGAGAATTGTTACGTAGTGAATAAGAATGTGTAAGTGACGATTGATATTGGTGTAAGTTTTTATTTAATGAGAATCAAAGTTTTCAAAATGTATATTGAGGGAAACATTTAAATTTGTGATAAATAAGTTAAAGTATTGCCTGCAAGATGTTCTTCTTTTCAAACCAAAGACTGCCCTAACTGCCCTCTTCTGGAGTCGGAAAAGGAAAGACGTTTTCCCACACTCACACCACCACACCAACATTGCGTAAGCTATATCAGGTGCGGCAAAATCACTCCATAATATGCTGTAATTAGAACATCACATTTTGCAAACTTAGAAAGTTGGCGGAGAAGAAAGGTCCTAATAAAGTCCTAACTTACTCAAATTTTGCGGGGTTTCATGACAAATTCAAAGGTGTAATTTTTATTATAATCCAACAACTAATAACCACACAAAAGCCCGCACACTTTATGTAACACGGAAAAACACTCAACTTATATGCCCAACAGTTTATGTTGTGAGTAAAATACCGTAAGTTAAGTTTAGCCTAATCAAATTGTGCTCAATTCAACTGTTCCATTAGGCTACAATCCAACAACCAATAACCTCGCAATAGCCTGCAAAATATTATGTTAGGTTAGGATAGGTTCATGGTTAGTTTACTTTATCAGTGTGAAACTGGCAATAGGGGTACAGTTTATTATCTGGGCTAGGCTTATGCTAAAAAAAAATTGATTGAAACTATCAAATTGAAATTCGATCATTAACATCGATGATCATAGATCATAAACACAGAGGACACGCGTCCGGTAACCAGACTTGGATTAGGCGTCAGGAAGTGACGTCACCGGGTTGTGGGGTCCCGGAACGCCATTACCACAACGATACGATGTTCGGCCAGCGTTGTTCGTGGTGTACCTAGTGGATAGAGTGCTCGGCTGATATCCAAGAGGTCCCTGGTTCGAAACCCATCGGTTTCTTTAACTTTTTGTCACAGATTTTTCTTTGAATGTAAGTACCTACTTTTTTCTGGTAAACTGTGCATCTTTTGTTAGAATTTTTGGCATTTATAATTTTATGTTATTAAGATAATTGAACCTTCATTTGATTTTTTTCATTATCAGCAAGTTTGGTTGGTTAGGTTAGGTTATGACAGTAACTGCCGGACGCCTAATCCACGTCTTGTTACCGGACGCGTATCCTCTGCGTAAAATAAAATATAGGCCTAGGTAAGGCATATATAATGAAACTGTCATAACCTAACCAAGCTTACTGATAATGAAAAAATTGCATGGAAGGTTTACTAATCAGGGATCCAATTTATTTCCACGGTAGGCCTAAGCTGGCTGCACTTTACTTGACGTCCTACACTCATTCGATTGTTTTTTCGATTCGATATTTTCATTCGATTGTTTCATTCGATATATCGTTTGGTTAGTTAGGTTAGGTTATCCTTACCTAACTAACCAAACGATATATCGAATGAAGCAATCGATTAATCGATATATCGATCGATATTTTCATTCGAATGAGTGTAGGACGTCAAGTAAAGTGCAGCCCCTAAGCTTAACACCATTTTACAAAAAGGTATACAGTAAGTAAGCTATAAAACTAAAATTATTAACAACAAATAAACAACGAATCGATGGTTGCAACCGATATTAGCATAGCTCGGTTAAGAATCTACCCCCGAATTAACCTAACATTTTGTGGTTAGGTTATTCAAGCCTTGACATAGGCATCAAGATAAAATAGTAATAAATCACCTGGCTGTCATCAGTTTAAAGCTTCACATTTTACAACAGTGTAAACTTACAAGAAAACATCTAACTTAAAATCTTACTTTTGATTAGGCCGGATTCCCTTGCTTTTACTTTTCCTCGTACCACTATGTATGCATCTGTAGGTCAATTCATAATATTTCAATTTATCATTTATGTGTTTTTTAACACCTTTCTTTCTGGCTCCATTGATTGTCCTTGAACGTTCAATCCATAACTGAATATTGTCATCCTTTTCTTTTTCAGAAATAAATTCTTCTAATGTTTCAAAATCTCCAAATTTTAAAGGGACCTCCTTCTCCGCGTCCATCTTTCTTCAACTGGAAACTGGAACTGAACTCAACTGAACTGAACCACACTGAACTCTGTCTGACTGAACGACTGAGGACTGAACTGACTGACAACCACGTCAACCCACTACGGTACCTCGGTTTTTTTGTGGTGGCGGGTTGACGCCTCTGACCAAAACACCGAGGTGGCGGTTTGACGTGGTGGCGCATTGATAGCGACCCGATTGAGCCATGCGAACGAGCTCACTTGTGAAGTTAAACGGGGCAAAGCCCGCGGGTGCAGCTAGTATATATACATAATATGTTTAAAAAAACAAATAATTTAGTATATTGAAGCGTTGTTGTATGCCTAATGGTTACGGAGAAAATTCCAAAAAAATTGTAAATTTAAAATTCCCATGTTATTCTTATGGACAATAAGTCAACTGTTGTAGTTTGCTTGTTTATGAACATATTTTGATCGAATTTGGAAAATACTTTCATTTCTTACTAAATTATTAACAGTTTACAAAAAAAAAAACACTTCTACCCTCCCTCCCTGTTGCAGCAAACCTAAGTACTCGTTAAACTAATTCTATTTTACTATATAGTGGTTTAAATTACCGGTACCTTCACCTTGTTACTGTCAAAACGATCCTTTGTAGTTAGTAAGACTACAGCTGTTTCATGCTTCGAATGGAGCACATCATCAGGTCAGAAGAATGTCAAGTAGTCTTCATATTCCTCGCAGTGGAGTTCGTCAAAAGTTTAATAATAAATAGAGAACAAAACACATGTTTATATTCCTCGCAGTGGAGTTCGTCAAAAGTTTAATAATAAATAGAGAACAAAAGTATATTCTTCTGACCTGATGATGTGCTCCATTCGAAGCATGAAACAGCTGTAGTTTTACTAACTACAAAGGATCGTTTTGACAGTAACAAGGTAATTTAAACCACTATATAGTTAATTCAGACGATCCAGAGGCCATTCCACCATGAAATTCTATTTAAATAGGGAAAAATGTGAAAATTTTATGGAGGCATTTTTGTGTAAATCCAACCAGGTTCATGGAAATTTGCTTAGTCTGCAGGTTTGCTGCGGTGGGGGTATTTTAATTTTTACTCAACCTAAAGCTTTGTTCCAATCTAATAATTTCATTTTAGCAAATTTCGCGCTAGGTCTCATGGTAAGACTTTTGCACCAGGGACCGATTTAATTTTTCATTTTGATGTCGATGTCCCTAGAAGCAAAAACACCATGTGTCCGTTGATAACTCAAGCACAAAATGATCTGATTTCGATGAAATTTGATACAAACATAAACATATGTAAACCTACATTTATTTGAACGAGTTTGCGGACCAGCAAGATCGGACCATGGAAATGGGGTTTTATAGGGGGATTTATATGGGGTAAAAATTGGCTTTTTTTAGTTTTTGACCCTCAAAACTTCTATTTCTCATATTTTCTCTAGACCATTTTGAAGAGCTTAAAAAAACAAATAATTTAGTATATTGAAGTGATTTTGTATGATTATTGGTTACGGAGAAAATAATAAATTAAAAATTCCCATGTTATTCTGATAAACCTGCAAAAGACTCATGATTTAAACTTTCAAAGAATGTAGTAATGTTGTTTGTTGTTAATTTGGGCAAATATCTATTTGAAATAGGTTTTTTATTCGCTAAGCCATATAAATCAAATAACTGTGAATCAAATTACTAGCTGCTATCCCCGGCCCTTTCCCCTTATACAAGGCCGCTGCTAGACAAAACTACACTGCTGTCCGTCAAACCGAAACAGCTGTTGCACTAATTTTTAGGCTGTATAGGAAATGTTTATGTTTACACGTTTGTTATTTCTGTTATTACAATATGTATGTGTTACACACCAACACACCAGCCTTGATTTTTGGTAGGATATGGTATCACCGTATGTGATTTTCCGGCACTTGCTCAAATTTGGAACAATTATTCCCAAATCTCTCACATGCTTAGCTTAGGTAGCCTCAATTAATTTTGTGTTCCTGTTTGTCTCACGTGCACCGGAAAATCCCTCTTTCATTAATGAAATATACAGTTTTGTGCCGATCAGCAACCACAGGAGGTGCATTTATCTTTTTTTCACTGTAGTGTAGTATTTTTTTTCCTAATCCTATATTTATTACTGAGCTCTTATCAAAAACAAAGAAAAGGTAGTACAGTAAGGCAAAATATTACTACTTATTAAGTTGTCATAAAGTTTTATTTTCTTGGTTAAAAAAATAACATTATTTTAGCTTCATTTCAATAACATATAACAGTTAAATGGTATATTCAAAGATCTGCAGGAAAGAATAATCCCGTATAAATCGATTCTTAGTTTTCAGATAAAGCAATTCCAATAAAAATGTAAGTTTTAACATTTTTAAACTTCTACTACTTACACAAACAATTTTTTGATGAATCACTTAGTAATTTATTAGTAGCATTCAACCATTAAATAGACATTCACAAATCCGACAAAACATACTGTTAAAAATTTCTTACTTTTGAAGGCTTGTAAGCACACATTTAACACAAAAATGAATGTTTACATGTACATTAGATTTGTATGGACATTTGATTATATCTATACCAGGGGTCATCATGACTGTTTGCGTGGATTAAACGCCATTTAAACACTCAATGAAATGAAACTCAGGTGATGTGAATGTTTTTTCCTGCATTTACACAATCAGACTTTATAAAAAGAACACTCTTTTCAGAAGTTAAGGGTTTGAAGCAATGTAGGAAATAAAAAACTAATTTAAAAGTGATATTGGCCTTAATTAATTTTTTTGAGTTATCTTTAGTGTATTAAATTAACACAACAATAATGGAATATGTAACTTCTAACTCAATATACAATATTCACACTGTAAGTCATTGCTATTTATGTTTGCATAAAATATCAACTATAATCTTGGACTATATATTTAAAAACTCTCTTATACCTATCATAGTTCAATTCATGTGTTTCCTATAACTAAAAAAATAATGCGAGTTAATGCCCTAAAATAACAAGCTCTAAGTAGTACAGTAGTGAAATGATACAAGTAAATCCTAAGTTTATAACTGTATGAAACAGAATTCAATTAGACTGATGGAAAATGTAATGCTAGCGCTAAAATTCTCCAAATCTTGGTTGGGCAATGTTTTGATGGGAAAGTGTGTGATCCACTTTAATATGAGAAGATTAGGTAAAAACACCATCTTGTTTTGAAAAAACAACTTTTAAAATATTAAATATTTGAAAAAAATATATTTTAATTTTTCAGTGGTTTTTGCTAAAGTACCATTCATATTCTTATAAAACTACAACAGATTTTGTATACTTAATAAAATAAAAATACTAAATAAACATGTTTGAAATTTATTTAAAGCCATTTCAAACATTATAAAGGACGTTATGATAAGTATTTAAAAATAATATGGATTTAAATTTTATCGACAAACAACGTAACACCTTAACAAGGAGTTAACTTTTAATTTAAGAGAGCAACAGGGAATAAATAAGTATATTTGTACAGTAAATATGGATGACGATAATGATTACAGTTTAAGATAAACATGATAACAAGCTTTTACAATTTTATAAGTAGGCTATGTAATCATTTTTTTGAAATAATATACACACAATAATTTATTTTTGTAAAAAAATACAACCGACTTCAAACGCTCTAAAAAGAATGAAATAATTTCAATAAAGTAAACTTTTGTATTAGGCAAGCTCACGTATTTTAAGTCGGCGCGGCTCTATAATGATTTTTGATACAAAATTGAAAGAGGGTGTCCATATTGCAGGTGACTATAACTAAAGGTGTTAATCTGCATGTCTTTTTCATAGTTATGCGTTAAGTGTTATTTTATTACCGTAATCAGAGATCGGCATTATAGTGGTATTAACGAGTATCTTTAAAAAGATTATAACACATTTAAATGTTTCTAACTTGGAAAAGTAACGTTTTAATACTAAACTAGCTTCTTTTCCCTATCATAATATCAAACTAAATTATTTTCCTATTCATATAGAACATTTGTGTGTGTTATTTTCATAATGCATTTATTCTGAAGTAAACATAAAATACAAGAAAATATTTCCTTTAATATATAAACAAAACAGTTCAGTGTGTTTTTTATATATTTATGTTATCCAGCTACAATTTATCGATTTTCAAAATACACACACAATATTTAATTTCAATCATATTTGCAGTTTGAGCGCCGACTTGAAATATGTGAGCTTGCCTAATACAAAAGTTTACTTTATTGAAATTATTTCATTCTTTTTAGAGCGTTTGAAGTCGGTTGTATTTTTTTACAAAAATAAATTATTTCATTATTTTTAGTGACTGTATATTTTTTTATATATTAATTACTTGAGGTTTTTTGGTAAGAAAAACTGTTTGAAACAATCAAAAGTTCCACAGAACAATCATTATTTTAAAACTGCTTGAGTCACCTGTTCAGGTTACATAATCAATGGGTATGAAAATAAACATTTTTAGATATTCCTTAAGAAAGAAAGAGTTGTCCATTACATTAGGTCTAATGGAAAACTAATTGTCTTTTCTAGATACATTGAAATGTCAGACATCATCGTTTCCTGCAATCGGTGTACTTCTACATTATAAAAAGAAATACAGTAACTTCTCAAGCCTTTTGGAACAATATGAAAGTTATTCCTCAGATAACAGCACTAAAAAATCTCTCAAAAGTGGAAAATTGGTCGTTAACACGTAAAGTACCTTTGGAAAATATTATATGAAAGATTGGTTCAGCTAAAAGTGGTGCAAGCCATGTAGGTGGTTTTGTTTGATCAAGATATAGCCTAGTCGAGATTGCAAATCATCTTCCTCTAGGACTTTCCGAAGCAGGCATAATAGTATTGATATGATGTAGTAACTGGGTAGAGAATATCAATAAACATACCACACCTGCAAATGCATGTTTAGTAATTAGTAATTAAAATATTTAACACTTTTAAGACAATTGACGATTATGCACTGTCACAATTCTTAGGTCGTGTAAGGAATAATTGCGTTTAATTTATATTTAGACCTGTTTTACGAATGCTTTGGTTTTCACAATACACCTTTATTTGTCAATATCATACAGCTATTCACTGAAACATATATGTTTTTTAAAGTCAGAATATTCAATACTAAAAACAGAATTACTGTATACACAAATCAGATCAAACGTTAAAATACATGTTTTATAGTAAACAAAACAAAATGCATTTTTCTCAATGTACCGTAATTCATTTAGGCTCCATGGCAAGAAATAGTTTATTGATCAATATGAAGCAACTGTTTCATTAAGAATTGTCTGTAGCTTCATTTAAATGGTTTCAACTAACAGCTGTAGGAATGTTATTATTATTTATTGCCTTCTCTGCCCAAATGTAAACAATCTGCACAAATGTAAACAAAATAAATGTTGAATATTTAAGATTTTCAGAATTTTTCACCGAAACAAATATTATACTTAAACATAATATATAAGGTACCTAATAGAAACTCTCCTGGTTATTTTTGTGGTGGAACCACACTGATCGGTAAAAGAATCACAGAGAAATTGGTGAACATACATAGAAAAAAAAACCATCGCCACAAACAAATTGAGAACCTCCTCCTTTTGTTGGTAGTGGGGAAGTCGGTTAAAACTAGGTCTGATTGATTGGTTTGTAAAATGTAATAGTTTTATTTATTGACTACAAGTCTGATGATGTCCTGTGGTCAGTGATGAAATTGTAGAAAAATATAAGTAGACCCATAATAGTATATTACGTTACTAGCCCGGTAAGTGGTGTTTTACCGCGCGAGCATGACAGTGAGTATGGAATTTATGCGCGGGATTTTCGTGTGAGTACGGTAAAGCTTACCAGGCGAGAGTAACGTACGATACTTTACATCATAATACACAGACTAATTAGTACATTTTAAACGCATAACACAATTTATTTAGGACATAACATAAATTACAAAATTTTTATATCACAGAAAATAAAATAGGCTGTTGCAGTTGGCTGTCATTAGCTGACTAAGTGCACGGTAAAAAGTCTTTACCTTGCAGTGCACGGTAAAAGTACATAACGTTACTTTTCCGTGTTAAGGCACGGCAAAGGGCAACTTTCCAGCCTGTCAATACGGATGGAAAAGTAACTGTTTCTGTATAGTATGATGTTATCAGATTTGCTATTTAGCAAACTGATTGCACCCAGGAAATACCAAAGATGATGTATTGATAAACAAATCATAATTTTAATTTTGCAATAGTGGTAAAACCTATCATGCTTACAAATTTCAAGAAATAAAATCAGCATATCAAAAAATTGTTAATAGAGGTTGTCATAAAATTTTGAATTTTTAATGAGTGAGGTTTAAAACAGATTGAGCAATGGGTTTTATATCAACATAGGAGTTTTATTACTTAATGTTATGGTAAATATTTTTTACAATAATAATATCCTAGCAAGCAATTTATTATTTTAAAAGTAAACATAAAATAATAATAAAATCAAACAATTACACAAATAAATTGAATTAGGCCTCGTTCACACGTATCGACTTTCCGCCGTGCGCCGTGTACGGCGCGGTGCCGTGCATTCCTGAACCGTGCCGTGGACCACACGACTCGCGTCGTGAACAACACGCCTTAGGCCATGCAAAAATGACTTCTTGCCACATTTTTCAGTCTGTCAAAATGGATAACCAAACAAGTATGCTCTTTTTATACTTGCTACATCGTCAAAGCAAAAGGAGGCGTAATAGGCTAAAGTGGGTACACCCTATAAACATGCAAAGGCCAGTAACAGGAGCATTCGTTCTTCTTTTCAGTTATTTTCTTTTCTAAGAAAGAACGAAAGTAAATTTTATAATTATTTTTTTGAATGTCAGTTGCTTCATTTGATGAACTGTTAGTGAAAATGCAAGGAAGCTTAATTAATTAAACATAATATCAAGATTAGAGATGCCGTCCCAGCTGTGGAGAGACTTGCCGTTAGTCTCAGGTTTTGCGCTAAAAGGTGTATTTTATGTATTATACAAATTATGTAAGCTGACTTCATTTCCAAAGAAATCTGGTTAATCTTTACAAACGAGCATTGTGGCCTATCTTAAGGCATGACTTCACTGTTTAAAAACTAATGTTTGATAGCAAATAAGTTAATACTATGTACCTGTGAATTGTTCACATAAGTTTTTTTTACAAATTTTTTACAAAAGTGGAAGATTCCGCCCTTTGTGGTGGATGTACTACACCTCTCGAATCCAGGAAGACACTGAAATAAACTATATCTGCGCATGCGCTAGACCGAGTCGGGACGGCCCCGCGTCGACCTGTGTGAACGCGTCCATAAGAGACCATGGTGTTCAAGAGGTCGAGTACTGCGCGACGCCGCGTCGTCGCTTGAAGAAGGTTGCAATGTCCACGGCCGCCGTGGACGGCGCGGCGCCGTGGTTAACGGTTGCATTTACAGCAATGCTATTGAATAAACACGACGTCGTGCCGTACACGGCGCAAAGTCGATACGTGTGAACGAGGCCTTACCGTCTTAAAATACAGATCTCTTACTGAAAATCTATTATTTACAGAGAAACTTTACACTACAATACTACCGTTAGGAACAAGAATAAATGTAAAAGTTAGCTTAGGCATTCTGATTAGAAAGGAAAACACTATGTAAGTTATAATAAAACAAGATACAGACTGTGAACATTTATGATTTTGTTTAGGGCACATGGAACATGATTGAAACAGTTTAGTCACGGTAGGAAGAATACAAATTAAATTAAAAACCTGGGATCAAACTTTATAAAACAAATTATTTCAAATGTTTCTTTATATTAATAAAAAAATATATAAACATTTTCACTACCCGACAAATTACAGTAGACCCTCATAAATCCAGAAAAAAAAAAATTAAAACTAAATAAATACTAGATTTTTTTTATTGGCCAATCAGATAAACAGCTTTATGCTACTTGGGCTTTCTTTGTGCCTTTGATTTGTTAGATTTTCCACATCATTAATAACATGACTATTGTATTTTGTATCCACAGTCCAGTGGTCTATACAGCTGGTTCTAGTATCACTTATTTAAGATGGGAACGCCACGATGTGCGTATTTTAACCAAATATGTAGGAATATGAAGGAAGAATGTAGGATGAGTGGCGCGATCTTGTAGTTTTGTTAGTGACTAAGGCCGACATGTTCCTTAGACACAGCTGTTAATTAATTGCCCATACAATGGCAACTAAGGGACCTACAGTTTATAGTGGAATCCGAACAACATTTTTGCCTTGTAATTGACGAATTGGTCTATTTATCAGGATATTAATGCGGATAGTCGTAGTACTCACTAGTTTGGACGTTAATCCACACCAGGGAGTATCACATCCACAGCGCAAGCCTATAGATATCCACAATTCGTGACCTCCTAGTAGCTGTGATACTGCCATGTACTGTACCAAAAATGTTGATAAATCAGAGGATTATTGTTTCAGTAAGGCATCGAGATTGGCTTACTATTTGCTGCCCGCCATTGCTCTTAGAAGTACAACCAACTTGTGAATGATTTTGGGAAATCCGGAATTGCCTGGCATCGAAATAAGTCAGGATTTTTGAAAGTCTACTGTAATATTTGCTCACAAAAGCTGAATTCAAATTCTAAAAGGTTGCTTGAACCTTAGATACTAGGTACTAGGACAATAAGGTATGAGCATTATGTGTTACCCACAATTTTACCAACAGTGACAATTAAATCTGCTAAAACAATAAAAGTTCTGAAACTTATAGAAATCAATATACTAATTTAATACGTTGATAAAAAATAAATCTCATTAATGGAAGTTTTATAATAGGTTATAGGTTTGAGATATTTGCCAGAAGCAAAAGGCAATACGATAAACACAGCTTGCTTATTGTAAGGTCCTTACATATCTAAGGTAAGAAAATAATATCACACTGCACTAAAATAGAATACTTTACAATAAATAACAATAACAAGGAATAGCACTCGTAATGTATATGTACAAATTGACCTAACCTAACCGTCTTGTTCGCAGCTACAGGCCAGCGTACTGCGGACTATCGGGGGCCGAGTTGCGAGAGAACGGACTCGACTTCTGCTTCACATCTGGTGGTTGATCCCTAAAAAAACCAGCACTTACAGTCATACTAAATGAACTATGTATAAACTCACAAAAACATTTGTTTAAATTATCTGAAGGTTAACTTTTTTCTTACAGTATTAGCTGATATTACAATCACCATTTTAAAACACAAAGACAATATTTGACAATTCAATTCTTGAAAAATGTATTTGCAGAATATTTTTGTTCCACAGCTTATTGTTTCAATTCATCAGTTCTGATCAAGGCTTAATAGCTAATGGAGCCATATACATATTGTCAAGGATTGGGCTCCTACCGCCAAGTTCAAGGTCAAGTGTTAGTAATTGCCTGGTGGTGGACAGGTACATGCTCGGATGGATCATATACTCACCCAAAAAACGGCATTAGTGAGATGAGCAGAGGTTTGCTTGGAGCCGTAGTGAGGAGGGAATGTGACGATATCAGATGATTCATCACCCGACGCAGATACTGCTGTAACTTCTGTCTCCTCTCCTCCACAAACTTTGCATCCTGAAAATTGCACAAAGTGAGAGCAGGTTAGACAACCTATTCTTGATTAGATGCTATGTTACACTAAAAAAATCTCCAAGACATCTGTTAAGTTATAGGGTGTTTTTTACGTTTAGTTATAGGATGTAACTGTTGCTGTTTCTCAAGTACCTATTAAAGTAACAATGATAAAATATCTTTAAGTTAAATTGTTACAGTTACAACATAAACAAACTTAAGTAACCAACACAATCAGTAAGTGTTGTGTAAACAAAGATTAGTAGGAATGGAAATTGTTAAAAAGTACCTTATTTCCTAAAGTTTTCTTCGGAGGAAAGAAAAATGTTCCAATAACAGGGTATTGTTTCTTCAGAGTTTTATGGAGCAGATAGAACTGAGCGTATCGTCGATAGACATTCCATTCCTCATCACATATCCTCAGATGAATCTGTAAAAAAAATTTTTTATCACTTTTTCAAAACTTAAAGAGTATTAATTTACTTTCGGCAATGAGTTCAAATATCGCCAATGTTTTAAAAGTCCCCCCCTATAGCTGTTTTTTGTTCGATACCATTTCCGTATAGCTACTAACAATACCCTTTGATATTGATACCATTCAAAATCCAAATACTTTGATCCCCCTTCACTCTCTCTTCCCATTTCTCTTCATCATCACATGTACTCCTGGTTGCCATAGTAACTAATTGCCAAACTAAAGACTCCCTTGTCAATCTGTCTTAGTCCTGCACCAATAATGCACATTTGTGCTAAATTATATGTAGTGAATGAGTGAACCACCACATAAATATAACGGGTGTTGGCCTACCTACTCTTGAAACAATTGATTAATACAAATTCAATCACTCTGGCGTTTATCATTAACTATTGGATACTGAAGAACGTAGTTGTGTAAGCCAGTCAGAGAATATGCTAGTGTCTAAAATGCTATTTTCTAGTTTTCTACCTTATTTTTTGTTGCTGACCAAGTTGATAGATCGTTGCTATTGCTCACAATAATTCATTCCATTAGTTTGACTTTGTAAAAAATGTTGAGTATTCAACAGGAATTATTAATTTAGATCAGCGCAATCTGTCAGTGACTCACATCAACTATGACGATTTTGATTGAAAAACTAGTGACAACTTTAACATGGGGATGGAATGTCTAGTTGAATCAATAGTCAAAGCTTTTATCAACGTTGAACACTGAAAATGCACCAAAACAAATCCTTTACTGAATTCTACACTCATAGAGTATTAACACATTTAACTAAATCAGAAATGAATAAACCCAAGTTATAAAAAAAAGTTATATTATAATTTAATAAAAGACTAGGTAACTTCTCAATGTTGTATGATCGTTATTATGTGTAAAACCAGAAGGGATTGAGTATTGCCGATACTCCTAATACAGGTATCATTGATATTGAAATATTATAGTTAATGGTGGAATACCAGCTATCCCACTTTTGGAATTGAATCAAGTTGAATACAAGCCAATTGAACTAGCTTAGTGAAACTTGGAACTGCTGCAACCTAACTAGAACCTTCTGTAGTGACCTAAAGTAAGTTGCATAACTACTGATCCTTTTGAATTGTTGACGTATCCTATTTCATTTTTTACTGTTTGCAAAGAAAACTAGCTGACACTCAAGACTTTCTGAACTGGGGTGGTGTCACCCATCTCACCTGATAGACATGATGGGAAGAGCCTTCGTTGCTAGCTAAGAACACTGAAGGTATCCACAAACTGACAAGCGCAGGAGAGCACAGATCTTCGTCATCAGACTCCAACAAGGGCCCACGCAAGCTCTCCAGCTCTGTCCGCAGACGACGGATTGTTGCCTCTTTGTTCTGCAGCCTACGCTGTATTCGGTCGTTCAACTCCATCAGTTCTGCGTGCATTTCTGCTACCTGCGCAAGAGAATAATAATGTATTTGTTTGTATTTAAATTAAAAGATGCTATAGTAAAGTTGAATAAAGGCTCATATTCAATGAGATCTACAACAGTAGTTTTATGTTATTTTGATTTCCTCCATCTTTAAATCTACATACACAAAATCAATTACTTAAAATATTCAAAAATTGTTTTCTGAATATAATTTATGTTAACAGTAAGAGATCAATGCAGTTGTCCACTCCAGTTCATTTCATTGGCTATGCTGGACCAACCACTCGTGCCAAGACAGACAGTTCCTGTTGTGTCACTTATTTTCCAATTGATTAATATTTTTTTCATAGTTTCGGAAAACCTGAGTTATTGGTTTAACAAGGTGCCGTTAGAAGGGGATTTACTGTAGTGAATGAAACTCATAATCATAATATTTTTGTAAAATTGACAAGGGCCTTACATGAGGGTGACAGGCAGTTGAGTGGGCGCCTTGCCTGTAAATATCACTGTTCCCAAAACTCACTGGTCTCGGCAGCAATGATAACATAACAAGATGGTTGATGTTCCCCGTAGGCTACTAAATAGTACCTAACTGACCTGAACCAACTTCTTCTCATACAGGTCAGCCTCTTCATTGTGGCCCTCTTGTTGTTTCAGCATCTGCACCGCTCCTACATACTTCCGCAACTGGTGTTTAAGAAGCTCATTTTCTCTGAAACACGTTAAAATAAACGGTATCAGCAAACAGACAGATTTCTCCCATTTACTCTCATGGCCTCCAAGTACTACACTACAGCAAGGTAATGTATGAGGTTACTAACCTGTCCAAGGCCATGTTCCTAGACTCCAGGCTCTGTCTGTCCTGCTGGTGTTGTTTGGCCTGTAGCCTCAATTGAGCCTTCAGTCCTTGTGTGGCCTCTCTCATGGCCTCCAAGTCTTTTTGTAGCCGAGCCACTTTTGAGTCTAGCGCCACTTCTATTACTGAACAAAATTACCATGTTAGTAAGTTCACAAGATTTTTAACTTGAATCTAGTTGTCTCTTGATAGTAACTGAACATCAATGAGTGGACCAATCAGAACATCCAAGTATTACCAATAATACCACAGACAAATAATTTATACCAACAAAATCATTAATCGAGTAAAGCTGAAAACTACACATTGATTGTTAATATCTACAAAACTACTTTTCACAGAGGCAAAGCTATTCTGGTGGTTATTCAAGATCCAAAGTGCATTTATTTTTTAATTTAAGATCATATTACTCATTTCATTTGACCTCTTCAATTTTGTAGTGTAAAAAATACTTCAAACAAATTCCTTAGTTGTGACCTTAACAACAGAAGTTTCATGAATTTGACAGAACATCTGTCAAGTCAGCTAGTGTTAGCATCTGTCAAGCCAACTACAATAAAATAAACTAAATTTAAAAAAAACTGTTGAAGACTTGTTTGAAAAAGAAAGAACAGTAAACTGACCTGTTGAATCTGAACATGCTTCAACAGCCTCCACACTAACAGAGTCTGCGTCCTGAAAGAGGAATAAAAAAATGTAAAATCAGTAGGATGCACAGTGTAAGAAAGGATTATGAAATTACTGAGTCACTGTGCAACTTATACTGCTTTACTGCACAGCCATGCTTTTAATGTGAGTTAATGAATGGGTGTGCACACTGAACGAGTCAATTGCACGGCCATTAAGTGACTCCAGCTGATTATATAGGCAGGACAGTTATTAATTAAAACCCATATTGTTATGAGCAGTTGGATTGTTAGTTATGAGTTTACATACATCCTGCTTTAGCATGTTATCGCCACACAATCTCCTACCAAAGTCAACAGAAATAGATACGTAAGGTACAAAGGACAATTGCTTATGGAAAGACCATGCACTTTCAGCTCTAGTTTGTTGTGTAAATATACTTGTGACGAGCAAGGAAGAGTCTGAGCGGGGAGCACTATGCAGAAATTCCTATTGCACAAAGCACAGTGTCTTCCTCCACCGTGAGCGTTGTAGTACATAAGGGGGCGGTTTTGAAGTTTGCCCTAGACACCAGCAACTGGTACTAGACACCACGAGTGTCATTAAATGTTTCCTCTGTACCTTACTTCTCGTGGCAGAAACCAGCTATTAGCTCCCAATTCAAATATGGTTACAACTCAGAGTAAACTAGCATTAGAAACATAGCAGTAGCTTTAGGGAAACACTTAAAAATAATTAAGGATCTAAAGTAAGAATATTACTGACCTCAGAAAAGCTAGGCACCGAGAGTGAGTCTTCCGACGTCTGAGTTTCTTCAGTCAAAGGGACAGGAATCAGCTCCCCAACATTTGAATTACTGATTGGTCTTAGACCTCTGGAAATACAATTTTGAAAATCTAAAAATCCATAAAGTAAACATGAAATTATATTTATTAAACTAGTACACTATCTTATCGAATATCTACAATGTTGTGTAAAGCCAATACATTTAATTATAAAGAAAAAAAAGAAACCCTGCCAGACATGATTAAACACTTTTTTCTTTTTTTAATGTAAGAAAGCAAATTTTTGTTTGCCTGATTTGACTTACACTTAATTTTGTTTGTAACAATCCATATTTATTCTGTTTTTTTTTTTTTTTTTTATAGGTTTAATGAGTACTTATATTTGTTGCTACAGGGAAGGTGTTCTTAAAGGTGTTGTAAAGTATGTTCAAAAAATCAATATATTAGTATAAAATTAAATAAATCAACAAACTAAATTTTTTATCAGTAACTATTAGTTTTATTTTTATTTTAGCTGTACATGTGTTAACAGTAACTATGAAATCCAAATCTATAAATATAAACATAAAAAAAATAATATTTCAAAACCATGCTCAGTGCTCATGACCCAATCTAGATGGTTCGCGAAATCATTCAAAAGTGTATCCAGCACTACGCTTTCAAGCCAAATTTTATCAAAATCCGACCACAATTGCTCGAATAATCGTATTCATAGACACACACAATATTTGGGATTTTTAACCACAACAAATCGTATACAATTCAAACAATTCATAATGTTGGGTTAAAATGATAAAAAAAGCTCTTACTTATCGGAATCACGTCTGTTAATATGAGTTTGTATACCAATAAACATAATATTCATTGTGTTACCGTGGTAAAAACACACCACACTCGTTAAAAATTAATAACCAACTGAATTATCTAGCACTGATAATAGCCAAGCTATTGCGTCTCTCAGTAGAAGAGATTCTGTCACTATCTAATATCAGAGCGTGATTGACGCAACTCTAATCTTTGAAGTCAACTAAGAACATAAATTAAACAGTTGTATACAGTCCATGTTGTTGTATATAATGTATCAGATAAAATAATAGTTTCAAACTTTTATTAAAGATGATTTTTTTCATTTAAAATATGCATAGGGCCTATGTTAGCATTTGAATAGTGGACATAATAAGCTAAAGCTATACACTTTAGTTCCGGATTAAATATTAGTAAAGCAATATAGACTTATAGGTAGCCATGTGGTTAATTAAAGGTTTTTAAGAGATAGCTACCTTATCTGAGAAGATAAGAATGCAGGTGCTTAGTTATAGATAAACAAAAAGTCATATAAAAGTGTTTAAAAGTGATATTTTATCCTCTTGTAGCTTCTTCGGGTGTGAATTAAATTTAAAATAATCAAATAAAAATAGCAGAGTAATGTTAGGTACCAGTAGTTAACATTATTCCTATTTATATATACTCCCTGGCCTAGATTATATATATTTTTAAGCAAGCTAGCAAAAATCTGTGTTTTTGAAAATATGATTTAGTTTAAAAATTTGCAGTAAGCCCCAACTAACTTGAATTGTGGATATTTATAGGCATGCACTGTGGATGTGATACTCCCTGGTGTGGATTAACGTCCGCACTAGTGAGTACTACGACTATCCACAGTGCTATCCTGATAATCCAATTTGTTAATTACAAGGAAAACATTTTGTTTGGATATCTTCAAGTGTTGCCAACCTATTTCCAAGCGCACACGGATTACGTGCATAATAAAAGCATGCTGCTTTGTGTTGTTTGGTTAGAATACTGGTGTGCGCCAAAGTAAGTAAATGCAGCAATTAGCAGCTTTATGTACTATAATCAGTGCAAGGAAGCCCACTTTGTCTGGTGACTGAAGGAAAAATCTATTTCTTAAAATAATTAATTGACAGTTGTTTTCTGAACTTAAATTTAGGGTATGATTTCCATGTGATTCACTCTACTCTATTACATTCTCTTGACCAACTTCTTGTGCCACAGCGGACAGTTCCAGCTGCCTATCTGATTTTCCAATTGATTTGATTTTTTATGATGGTTATGGTTAAACAGGATTTCAATGTGTTGGAATGTGTTTTAGATAATTGTGAATATTTAAAAAAAGTATATTTAAAAATGTAACCACACATAAAGTTGTAAGTTACAGTAATTGGTAATTGAAAGTTTCTCGATTCAACATTACTTTTTTTCAAAAACACAATCAACTATCTATAAACAGTTATAATTTGACAGATAACAGTCCCACTGTTTCTGTCTATGATTGTAGTAACTTAATTTGTGTATACTATCACCACAATTAACATAAGATATTTGTAATTCTTACTTATTTTCATCGTCAGTTGTCATGTCACATTCCCCGCTTATGTCAATATCACTGGCGCCTCCGTTCTCGTCAGCCAATGGCTCAACACATTCTACTCCAATGACAACGACCTACAACAAACATTCTTAAAGCATTCTTAGTGTTTCATAAATTTTAAAAAAGTTTGAATTATTACTCAACACAGACTCACTTATTCTATAAATTCTTAAGAACTACAGATGTGTTATGTACTATTGTAATCAGAATGTTTCTTTAACCAGTTGCCAGCTGATAATTGGTTAGGAAAAAGTAGTTTAATCATGAGTCATAATTTCAATAAACAAAGTCATTGGCATATTATGATAGCTCAATTACTAATGATTACATTAGTTAGTACAAAGTCCAAATTTAATCATTGATACAGTATTTTACATTGTGGACAACTGGAGAGCACCATTCTATAATCTGACCCAACCTCCCCTCAAGTTTCTAATCCTTTTTTACTGGATAATAAGTTCACGAGTACTAAAAGATGCACAAATGACATGAAGTGTGTCCACTCACTTGATTCCAGGCACAGTAAGTACATTAATACCTGATACAAAATAATAACTTAAAATTAATGTGTACCAATGAATAATGGTTTCATGTAAGATTACTTATTAATCACATCTCTTTAGAGGACTAATTTGTGTTGAAAAATTACAAAATAAATTAAGATGAGATATAGTAGAACCCCAACTATCCAAATTGATGACAACCCAAATTGCCTGCAGATAAAGTTTAAAACTAAATTTGCAGTTAAGTTTTAAAACCGTAATTGTGAGACGAGAAAATCCTGAATAACTCTTGCGATCCTGTTGAGATCATCATTGTCTTTGTTGATCGTGGAAAAATCCTGATGAATATCTCCCGAGATCATGTAAACTTAATCATCGTCTCCTGCGGTGACGGAACATCATAATTGTTTCTGTAATGGCAAAATATTTAACATCTGCGGTCTTGTTGACCTCATCGTCATCTCCTACGGTCAGAGAAACACCACCATCGTCTTCTGTGATGGCGGTAAAATCTTGAACCTCCTGCGGTCTTGAGAATCATCATCGTCTTCTGTGATCGCGGTAAAATCTTGAACCTCCTTCAGTCTTGAGAACATCATCACTGTCTTCTGTGATCGTGGGAAAATCTTCACAGGCATGTTCCTCATCGCGATGGTAAAAGCTTGGCTCGCCTCTGTATATTTTCTTTAAAATATTCCAAATTTCAGTAAAAATACTTTCTTTAAAATATTCCAAATTTCAATAAAAATCCAACTACTTAAATTTTGGACCTTTTCCATTAATTCACTACCACTAGTTTTTAGAGCAATAGATTATTAGCAATAGAAGTGGTAGTGAATCAAACTTTGGTTAGGTTAGGTTAGTATAGAGTTAAGTATAGTAAGAAAACCCTAACCTAACTTAACCACATTCCACTAGTGGTGGTGAATTAGTGGAAAAGGACCAAATTTTTGATCATTGGAATGAGGTAAACGGCCCAAATTGATTCAGATGGTTGGAGTTCTACTGTACATATTTTTTTAACATATTATACTTCTAGTTAACTTTTTTACAACAAGCTCCCTTTACTCCTCACAGTAGTTACCTCAGTGGGAGAGGTACTTTGCGTAGGAGGGGAAGACCTTCCTATACTCCCACTGATGTCATCTTCATCAAATGAGATTATATTTCCAGGTACTCTTCTTCTTCGGTTTTTCATTTTATCACCTAAAAAAAAAATTAATTTAAAATTTGTATTGATTATGCCTACAGTTTAGTAACAGGGTAATGGCAATGGAGAAATAAAATAAAAGAAATACAGGAAATTTTATCTAAGGTGTGGGATGACAATTTTAAAAGATAAACATTTCCAAATTACTAAAGTTAAGTTTTATGTAATCTTTTTGTATGCACTTGTGGACAGTAATTACAGCATGTGTGCATTTTTTGAGGTTATTTCAACTTAACTAAAAAACAACTACTTGCAATCTTCTGTTAGGAAAAGCCATAATGGCAAAAACTATTTAATTTGTAAGTTTAAAAATGTGGACTAATAAAAAAGTGGTAAATTATTTGACATTATCTTGAATGCTCATTTGTTGCAGTCATCAAAAATAGACCATCATCAAATGGTGCTAATTATGAACACTCCTATTATGCCTAATTGTAAAAAAATCTAATCAAATTGAACAACTCATGTGCAGCACGGTTGATGAATCAAAACTTGATAACACCATGACACAAAACAGTCAGTTGACTCTGTCACTCTTATCATCACATGAAGATAATGTTACTCACATCTGAAATATGGCCTCTATTCAAATTTGAATAGCCGAGTAAGTTGCAAACGTTTTGCAAAATACTCGCCATTCGACCGCAAAGGGTTAAAGTGTATAGATCCACTGAAAATTAGTTTTTATAAGAATATGGAATTTATGTTTAAGAGAAACTGAGTAAAAGGATAAATAACTTCTTGATCAGCATTGTACGTGTTATTAAATTTACGGAAAGTAAATAAAAGAAACGTCTTATAACACTTAAAACATATATTTACGCTTATACTGTTACTCACAAGACGGTAAATATACAAAAAAGGAATATACCACTTACCACCTTTTTTGTATATTTACCGTCTTGTGAGTAACAGTATAAGCGTAAATATATGTTTTAAGTGTTATAAGACGTTTCTTTTATTTACTTTCCGTAAAAGGATAAAACTTAAATTTGCAAGTTGTCAATCCTCTTGAGCTACTTACCAGGAATTGTCGTAGGTGCTGGTATCACTGGCTCTAGTGCGTTTCCCCCACTCCCGTTATGGTTCAACTCTGGACGGCAGATGTTGATAGCAAACAAGATGGACGCCAAGCCAGCCGCAGCCGGGGGTAAGACGTTGCTCAGGTCCTGATCTCTCAGAAACGCCCAGTCCTCGTAATACTCAGAAATGTGGTCTGGCAATGCATCTGTGGTGTAGGAACGACAATAAGTAGAGTTTACTAAACTTTGGATGTTTCAGAGATACTCATAGTATGTTTATACGGATATTCAAGTTTTTAAATGATACCAAATAGTTTATCAAAAGATTATATTGCCTTTTTTTGATTAGGTTTTTTATTAGGATATCAATTTTCTTTTTCATTCATGGCAAATGGAGTTTTTAAGGATTTGCTTAGGTTTTGGTAGAACAGATATTCATTTGCCTACCGGTTTTTAAGTACAGGGTGGCGCAGATGGATCGGGTGGTTTTAAAATACTTGTCAAACTGTCAATTTTAAAGGTATTGGATTGAAAAAAAGTGCAAAACGTGTAGTTACAATGGAAGTTTATTGACAAAAAATTAGTTAAGTTAGTTTTTAAAAATTACATCCATCAAATGCCTTCCTTCTCGAGCGAAGCATTCTTGGAGTCGGTCCTTAAAGTTCCGCATTGCTCGCTCAAGCACATCACCAGGAATTGATGTGATTTCATTGTGAATTGCAGCCTTCAACTCCTGAATGGTCCGGGGTTTGTTCATGTAGACCCTTGCTTCAGGAGTTGAAGGCTGCAATTCACAACGAAATCACATCAATTCCTGGTGATGTGCTTGAGCGAGCAATACGGAACCTCAAGGACCGACTCCAAGAATGCGTCGCTCGAGAAGGAAGGCATTTGATGGATGTAATTTTTAAAAACTAACTTAACTAATTTTTTGTCAATAAACTTCCATTGTAACTACACGTTTTGCACTTTATTTCAATCCAATACCTTTGAAATTGACAGTTTGACAAGTATTTTAAAACCACCCGATCCATCTGCGCCACCCTGTACCAGTAACATTTAATCAACAATAATATTTTTTTTTATCATAATGATACCGTAGCTTCAATTCTTTAAGATTTTTTCAACATTATAAATATAAAAGGTTTACACAAATTTCGTAGAAGACCAACAGTGACAAGTTAATTGGCATTTCCATGAAGCTAATCATTAACGAAGAAGATGAATAGAGCCTTGATGAGCTATTGAATTTCAGTGGGATTATGGTACAGTATGTGCGATAGAATGAGGAGATTTAGGACCTTATACAGGGTGTCTACTACATTCTGGATAAAAAATTCATGGACAATTCCCGTACATTTAAGGACACTTTGCCGTAACCTTTGTCGGTGTCATTAGGCCTACCGAATAATTTTCCTGATTTGTCAAACTGTATTAATCTTGTTATTCACTGTAGTTGTACCAGAGAGAAAAGTAAATAATAATAGATAGGAGTTAAAAATTTCATAATAGAAATTTATTGAAAGTAAACAAACATAGGCCTACCTATACTTTAGGTAAAGCTTTTATAGTGTAACAGAGAAACGCAATCATTGTCTCCTGCGATAGCGACAAATATCTCCATCGGTCACGTAAACTTCATAACATAGCTTATCCCATCCAGGCCGATTAATTTGGCATGATTCGCCCTGGCACAACGTTAGGTTCTCGACTACTTTTGAAAAAAAAATCTTTAATGCATTTAATGCATCTTAGTACAAAATCAAGGTATGGTAAGCGGCTATCAATAAGCAATAAGCACAGAGTAAGATTATTGTATTTTCATTTGCAAAGTTAATATCGACACATAGCAATCATTAGTTGTTTATCTTAGGCTCAATTACATTTTCTTAATATATTTTACAGCTCTTTCAAGAATCAAAATACCCAGGCCTAGACCTAATTATTTAGGAGGGCCTATATAAACTGAGTAACAAACAATGAGGTTATAATAGCAGCAAAGTCACTATCATCATTCTAGTTCATAAGATTTAGATTGCTTAAAGCATACAACTCAATAAATAAATATATGGGAAACAAAAAACATTGAAACCTGAATAGCCAACAATATAAGACAAAGATACAGAAAATGCAATGACATAATTTGAAACCAAGCAGGCCTACATAGTGATAAAACATTAATGCAAACAACAATGCTTGTGGTTTTGTCAATTGAAAGATAAAATGTCCATAAAAAAGGGGTTAACTTACAAAATAAGACTGTAGATTATTTACATGTTTAATATGAAACCATAAACAGTTTTATGGCACTAGGCACTGGCCCGGCGAAAGTACAAGTAAGAAGTGAAATTTAACAGCCATTATAAAGCTATTATTTTCACAATAAAATAGGTTTGGGATCTAATAATAATTACCCTAGTAATAAAAAAAGAAGTTGTAAAGTAATAAAAGTGATACAACTTTTATGAGCTAGCTGCTGAGTAAACAGTTCTTGGAAGTACTTGACTTGACACTTGATTGTCGTGATAAAATATTAATGGGTTTGAGATTGTTAATGGGATTTTTATTGCATAATTATTACTCTATTAATAAATTATGAAAATGTAAACAAACATCTGATAAACCTTTTATGTGCTCCTAACCAACTAGCGATCAATAAAATTATGGCCCATCAAAAATTTAAGGACATAGTCTGGCATTTAAGGACAATTCCCGTACATTTCATGGCCAGTAAAAATTTAAGTACAATTCCCGGTTTTCCCGGATTTCCCGGTTGGTAGACACCCTGCTTATAGTCTTATATGCATTCTAAATAAAATATGATGAAAAAACTTAATCTAAAGAAAATAATGTATTATTTGAACCAAACAGGTTTCATGCTAACGAAAAATACTAATTTCTCATGCAAGAAAACTTTAACTGTGAATTGTATGAAGGCCTGTATTAATTATAGCTACCGGTAACTAAAGTTTGACTTGAATTTTAGAACAATTGAGCTTTTCAAGGCCTTAAGTGTCATACTATTTATAAATCAGTAAAACTATTTATCAATTTATGACTTCAACAATTTTTATCTTGATTTATAAGAGAAAAATACATCAATAGACTAAATTATTGGTAAGGATTTGATGGGAGAGACGATTAGGGTATCACCAAGACCGCAGTATATGCTTACAAGTGTTGCCGCAATCAATATTTTAAATAAATCAGCTGATAGCTAGTTAATTAAACTGACAAGGTAAAAATTTACAAGTAAAAGAATAAAATTGTTTCTTTGACTTGGGTAAAAAAGGATATTTCCAATGTTATATTTAAGTAATACGATGTTTTATGCACCATTTTGAACAAGTCTTGCTGATAACATAATATTTCTAATGGGAAGACTAGGATAAAAATCTTTTAACTTCTGCACTGAATCAAATAGAACATCACAAACTCATAGTTTTACTAACAAAACACAATGGATGAAGATCTCACAAAAAGTTCTAAATCACAGGTAGTTCCAAAAACAATTGCCAGCTAATGTTAGTTTTTGCTAATGATAAATGTTACTCGTCTCCACTTTTCTTGTTTACAAGGAATGATAGCTAGTTCTTATCTTTACCCAACTGTTGTCATATTTTACAAGACGTGAAGCCGTACTGATTACATGTCTAGAAAGAATACAGAGGACTACAAATTCTTATTTTACTACGAGTTGAAATGAGGGCATATTTACTACTAACTAAAGTTTCGGCAAACATAGGCATACAAGGATTGTACTAAGGTAGCTATAAAATCATTATAGCATAGTAAACAAACATATCATTTGATTAGGTACTTTTACAAAAAATATAAATAATCACCTTGAAATAATTTAGTGTTGGCCTAATTCTAACAGATTTTATTTTTGGGACTCTTTTGATATTATCAAAAATTAAATTTAAATGGTGTTGTTTAAAACCCTCAAAGTCAAGTATCCAAAATCCTAACCAATATTAAAATGACAGAGGAGTTGTCACTCGTTTTGCAGTGAATAAAACAGTTTAGAAGCTGGGTATTTTGTTGTCATTATCACATTTTGTCCATATACGTTTTGTTCCTCTATTCAAGCAAAATGTTCATGGAATTGGATTAACAGTATTCGCCTAATAGGTTTTGATGATAGTGAAATTTGTCTATTTTATCAGCTTTTTAACAGTTATAAATCATGGTCTTGTTACTACTTTTTAACATTGACCTGTTGTGTTTGAAGACATCATTATGGATAGCACAGTTATAAATAGTCACCAAGTCCAGAATCAACCCTTTTGAGAATGGAACCAATAACTTTCAGATTAAAAGTTGAGCACTATATCCACTCATCTAGCCAATATATATATATAGCCGCGTTCCTTAATCAATTTAGTAGGTGAATTAAAAATGTATTGTTTAAAAACAGGATTTAGCAACTAAGGCCAAAATACCAACCTGTTAGACAAAGCATGTACCGTTCCAAGGACTTCTCATTCAAGGCTGATCTCAACCATGCTCTCCCTCGACCTGTGTCGGTGTAAATTTGCTTCAGTTGCTCGTACCGATCTCTCTCATGCTTCGTGAGGAAATCTCGTACAAAGTGCCAAAACACTGGGGGCTCTTGCCCGTTGTTTCCCAATACTAGCTCTGTAACTTGCCTGGAAAAAAGTGTACGTTATAAAAGAGGATCGACTAAGGAAATTTAAATAGAGTTAGTTTTTAAGGTAGACCATATCAGTCTACCAGCTTAAATACAATTTAAATGCTAGTGTTTGATGATTGTGTTCAATCCAAAACATACAACACAATTCATTTTACATTCACCGTTTGAAACCGGTGAACACAGGTTTTTCTCACCTAGGCTAGTTATTGTATCAAAATGTAAAATTAATCATAAAAAATGACCCGGATGTCATTTGTAATTGGGCTGTCAATTAATGATTGTAAAAAACATTAAAAAACACAAAAACATAAAAATACTTAAAACAATTTAAACAGTGTTGCAACACACGTATAAATATAGGACATATTTCAAAATTATGCCACTGCCAATAATTTAATTGAATTATCAGATTAGATTTGACTATTTTGAAACATTTGAATTTTGAAAACTTACTTGATTGCCGAATGGTTTTTCTTGGGCAATGCCTTTGTTCGTAATCCATGGCTGAGGACGGCTTCAAGTTTGTTGCAAACATCAACTACATGAGGATCTAGCTCTGTGGCAAGTTCAGTCCTGCCTCCAAATCGAGTCTGACAGAGCTTCACAGAGTGAAGTAATTCAGTTTGCAGGTTTTTTCGAGCATCAGTTTGAGAGGTTATTGCTTGGGCAGCCAGCATCTAGAATAAATTATTTCTTAGACATATTCATTCTGATGGTGGTTATTAATTTAATAATTGGCCTGAGCTGAGCATGAAGGGTTAAAGACACTTATTGTAATTATAGACAATAAGTCTTACACAAGACCTAACTTTGGATGTGTTTGGTTCACCGGCTTCTATCATATGACTCACGTGACGGCATTAATGACAACACTTAATTCAACACTTCATTCATAGCCACGTAAACAAAAACTCTCGTTGTACGAGACAGGATGTTTATTTACAACCTCTCAATAAATAACTTATTCTTGAGTAACATCCTGTAGAATTTAGCGTAGGCTATTGTTCTCATCGTCAAACGTAGGAGCGGAAATGCTGAGATTCCTAGAAAGCAGCGGTTAAACCGAGCTGCTCTCAAAATAAGGTAAATTAAAACATAGGAGGATTAACATTAAGCAGAGGGCACGCGAATAAGGATATACATGTTGCGGTCAAGCCAGCTTTAGCAGAACACTAGGGGGCACGCGGAGCCGTAAAGTGGCAAAAAGCAGCAGCTATAACATGGGAGAGATAGGGAAAACTGTTTCGTCCCAACCTGATGATTTCTTATTAAACTTGAACAATTTAATAATTGTAATAACATCCTTCAAGTCTATAAATTGAAAGTCAAGTTTTAGGGTCTGCTTTTGATGTAGGTATTGATTTTATTGTCAGTACGGTAGTACCGCCTCACTTTCAAAAGAGAAAATCCAATTTGATTTGTCATATTTATAAATTTTTTATTAAAATATTCTGCAATTTCCTTTGCATTTGTAATGGATTTGTCAGCCACCTTGATATTGGGAAAAGTAGGCTGACTCTTTCCCATACCTAATTCAGCTTTGATAATAGCCTAAGCAGCCTTACTTTATGTTCCGAGTTGTTTTATAAATTTAGCATTACATGATTTCTTTGATTTATTACACACTTGTCTAAAAATCTGTCCGTACTCTTTAACATACCGGTACTGTAGTTAATGAAGTAAATATTATTTTACTCTTTAGCCAGTCTGCTTAGTTCTCTTTTTCTTACACTAGATATTTGAATACCTTTAGTACCGGTAGCCTAATCCAAGGTTTCTTACTTGTTCTGGAAATTTTGAAAAAAATGTAACAGTTAATTTCAAAACAGTTGTTAACAGATACTTCCCACTTTGTAGCTTGTATACTATTTAAAAATATACCTATCAATATTTTTTTGTAAAAGATTCTTTTCTTACATATTTTACATCTACTTTTTTTAAAATATGAAATCGATTTCACTTAAAATATTCATAAGGTGGTCTGAGAGACCCAACTATAAATTCATTGTAACTGGCGATTGAGATTTCATTTCAGATGTCGAGATGTTATCATCGATACATGACTTCTAGATGAATTTGTAATTCTGGTACCTAGGTTCGTAAAAATTGAATTTAAATCTACTGTTTTAACAAAGAAATAAAGTCTGATTTTTTGTCTAGTTTGGCTACAGTCTTGTAAAATATCTACATTGAAATCTCCTGTAATATATATATATATATCATTTGTTTTTGTGGCTTTTGTTAAAATTTAAAATAAGCTCTCTAATTTGTAAAGAAAAAATTTAAAAGTTGCGAAATGTGGTGATCTAAAAACAGAATCTGTGGGGGAATTGGGACCCGGGGGTAATTGGGAGCTATTTTTTTTAATTTTTAAATTTTGTATTATTTATTTATTAAACAAAATTGTAAATATGTTTAAGTTTAGGCATTCTAAAGGGGTTTCATCACAAATTAGGGCCTATTGGATAATTGTAATCTTGTGTTTGATGTATAAAAAAAATAAAAAATTAAGCCGTGTTTTTCCCGAATGTTAAACATGTGGCAAAACTTTAGCGTGGTGGTATTTTGAGTTATTTTTTATATATTACCGGTATATATGAATTAATAATCATACCAAAATGTGTTTTTTGACATAAAGGTTTAAGCAATAGTTTGTTTGGGCTTTAAAATTAAAAAAAAAAATTAAAAATTAATTTATAAATTTGTTAAAAAATGGGTCCCAATTACCCTGGTGTGGGGAAATGGGACCCATATTTTTTTATCCCACATGTATAATTAATATTAGGCTAATATTATAATTAATCCCACATATAATTAATCAATAATTATATATGTGGCTGCAGTGGTGATTATCATGTATTATGTGTAAAAACAGAATTTTGAAGTAGGTCCCAATTACCCCAGTATGGAGTAATTGGGAACCAGTCTCATCGCGTGGTTACATCGGGTAGGAATCACAGATGTAGGCTACAGAAAAGTAAAAAATTTATTTTACAACCACTTGATAAGAAACTAGAGCCTAAAAGAGAGAGCTAAGCCCATAATTGGCCTTAGCATGGGTCCCAATTCCCCCACTGGCCCACTCTACCCTAATATTCAAACTTTCAATTTCAATTCAAGAAACTTCAAAGATTGATTCTTCTTTAAAAACACACAAAGCATTCCTAATACTATAGGCCTAGCCTAGGCCTATATCAAATTTGAACTTATTACGGTAGCCTATGCAAGAACCTCCATGGGTCCCCTCTTCCCTGCAATAAAAATAAGTCAGAGTGTAGTTTGTAAAACGTAGAATGACAATATTATAATTTCCAAGCCAATGTTCATTTTAAATAAACAAATAAGTGATATGTTTGAATTTTCTCAAATTAATTCCAGTTCATTTTTTTGCTGTACTAAATCCTAACTAAATCTCTAATATGACATTCTAACGGTCCTAATTGGTTAGTGTGTTCAGTTACTGGATCGGTTAACCTTAAAAATGTTATTATGTAGCCTATGTTTCTGAACACAATGCCTCCCAACACCTGCGGTCGGGCTGGCTTCAACAAAACTCGAGCCCCCCGGGTCCTTAATGTTTAATCCTCCTAGGTTAAAACAAACTGTAGCCTATTATTTTACAAGCAAGGGCGGATAATCCGATTATTGGTTAATGTGAGGTTGGTTAAGAGGGGGTCGACTGTACTTAAGGGTAGTGTACACGTGGCTAGTTGCACTGATTTTAGCGCTAGTCAGTTTTAGAATTTAAGTGTTCAGTGGACGCAGATTTTAGTTTAAAAAAAATGTCTTCTGTTCGTTCATTTTCAAATCACAATATTTTGAGGCAAAGTTTTAGAATTGATGTAAAGGAGTTCTGTGAAAAGGAACTTAAGCGTAAAAACTTACACTTCCATATCTGGTGGCACAAACAACCGAATGAGTAAGTAACAGTCTGGTTTTAAGGTAAGGTTTTACCTAACCTAGCTAACCAAACGATATCGAATTAAGTTAAACAATCGAGTAACTTAAAAAATCAATATTAGGGTACAGGTAGTAACTTAACTTGCTCATTTGGTTTTTTGTGCCACCAGATATGGAAGTGTAAGTTTTTACCCTGGAAGTTTATAATGGAAGTGTACCTGAACCTAATACAAAGAGACAAACTTTGTGGGTTCAAAAGTGGATTAGGCGAAAACTTCTTGGTGCTTTGGATACTCTTATAAGAGAACAGGCAGTGGAAGAACACTCAACAGCTACCTACTCTACTTGACAAACATGTACCAACTGTGCAGTCCTGGCGAGTAAGGGTTTGGCACTAAGTTAGCGCTCTCCTAGAAATGCTAACGTTACCGGTACGCTAACTGTTGGTTCATGTGACTACCCTCCCCACTTGTTAGCGCTAGTATTGTCAAACATGTTAAAAGCTACTAGCAGCGATTAAAACACTAGCGGGCTGCACTTTACTTGACGTCCTACACTCATTCGAATGAAAATATCGATCGATATATCGATTAATCGATTACTTCATTCGATATATCGTTTGGTTAGTTAGGTAAGGTTAACCTAACCTAACTAACCAAACGATATATCGAATGAAACAATCGAATGAAAATATCGAATCGAAAAACTATCGAATGAGTGTAGGACGTCAAGTAAAGTGCAGCCCACTAGCGTGCTACCAAGCCTAGTTGTTGTTTTTGCTAATGGAGCGTTTACACGGGGCTAATTTATAAGTGCGCTAATCAATTAGCAGCTAATATTAGCCTCGTGTACACGGGCCTTTGGGATCTAAAACAAATTGGGATGGTTTTGCAGGCCAGTTTTCCCTTTGTTTATTGGTAGGCCTAATTAATTTGTTAGTGTGGAGAAAATTTCTAAAACATAAAGAGATAAAATGCAAGTTGATCACAGACGCAAATAAATGTGAAAAATCTTACCTTTATGCCTACCTATCTGTTCCTAGGCTATTAGTAAACACACATTTTTATTAGACAATAAGTTAGACACTCAGACACTAAAGCAAATCTTCCAACTTCCACTTCCACCTTTCGTAGTTTGCTGCAGGAAGTAACAGTTCCGGAGGAACCTTGATACTAAACCAAGGCTAAATCAGTTCTGAGGAACTAATTATAAAGTTTCACTTGTTACAATTTGAGAACCGTCAACAACGTGTTTGGCAAATAAATAAGATCAGTGTTGCCACTTTTAGGGTAATTACCCTTTTTTAGGGTAATTTACTAGTCTTAGGGTAAAGTTTAGGGTAATGGTAGATTTAGGGTAATTTTAGGGTAAAACAAAAAATAGGCATAACAATGGAAATTTAACTAAAAACATGAAAATAAACTTCAAAATTTGGCAAAAAACGTTCATTACCTACATATTATAGCCAAACCGTCATATACGATTCAACCGGTTTAAATATCGATTGCTATGATGCATTTTTCATAATAAGTTTATCGATCTAATGGATGGTGGAAGGAAAAAACATTATCTAATCAATAGTTGTGAATGATCTATTTTAGATTTTATTCAATTCTATAACACGTTATAATAAAATATGACATATTATTCATTACTTCTTGATTTTTAATTATGTGATTGAATTGAATTAAACTAGGATTATTTACAAATTGTGTCAAAAAATTACTGCTAAGAATAAGAATAGATTAAAGCTTTGGTGTTACCGTACTGTATTATAAAGATATGATTGTCCAAAAACAGTAGTTAGGCTAATGGGTCGACACTGTAAGAAAATACGATAATTCTTGATTCGATATTTTTCGTATATACCATAGAGCTGAATATCGACGTTTTGTTCTTCTTTTTCGTTTTTTGTAGAATCGAGTATAATTCTACGTATATTGATTGATATTGGAACCTTATTTAGTTTAATTAACCACCTTATATTATATTTATATAATTTTAACAATGTTTTATAGCATTAAACGCAAATATTAACATTTAGGGTAATTTTTAGGGTAACTCAAAGTAGATTTAGGGTAATTTAGGGTAATTTTAGCCCGCCTTTAGGGTAAAAACGCAACAACGAGGTGGCAACACTGAATAAGATATAATAACATTATAGGCTACTTTACTGTTTGATCGACTATAATGACTTTATCAGTGCGAGTTCCTTTGTTGATGTTGATTTGTTGAGGTTGACCAATCTAAGCATTGTAATATTGCGAAAATAAAGATATCATTATAATGCAAAACAATGATATAACTGTGACGTAGTTGCTAAATCCTATCGTTCCCTTCCTTTCCTTCACTTAACGTTGAGCGACGAGCGTCAGCGTTAAGCCCCCCACACACTACCAGACCAGACCTCCAGACCAGACCGTCTGGCTACAACCAGACCGTCTCGGACGGCTCTACACACTCCCAGACCAGACATTCCAATATTCGTCTTTGAGACACCGTGGTGAGAACTCCAACAAATGGATGAAGACGGTCGGCCGTCTGACAGACAGCGCTACACACTCACAGACCAGACAAAAATAGTGGTGGGGGAACCTAAGACCGTCTGTGGTCTGAGGGTCCAACCATCAGACACGCAGACAGTCTGGTCCGAGAAAATCGGTCTGCAGACAGCCCCACACACGATAAGACAAGTGCCAGACGACAGACCAGACGGTCTGGTCTGGAGGTCTGGTCTGGTAGTGTGTGGGGGGCTTTAGCGTAGAGTTGAGTTGAGTTGAGGTTGAGACTTTCTTTTCTTTGGACTCTACTTGAACTTCTTGCTTGAGACTTTTGAAGTTGATGAGGAACTGAGGAACACCTATATAACAAAAACAAAACATATCATCAAACAACGTGACGAAGGACAAAAATGCAGACTGCAGACGATTGATTACTCCATTTTAACTTAATATAGTTAAAAGTAAATCTCAGCTGTTCATTATAGAACCATATGGTTAAATAATAAGTTAATATCATAAGGGCACAACCATTGATTATACTTTTCATCAAGAGATGAAACAAATTTTTCGTCTGGTTTGTGTTAAAAGCGGCTACTCCTTTCGAGACGCGCCTGTAGATGACTGTACACAGAAATACTGAGATTGCTACCATTAGAACTTCGGAGAGATGTTAATGACCTGTGAATTCTATACAAGGTTATGAATGGCGTCCTGTCCTCAGTTGTCCAGAACTTCTTCAGAAGATAGACATCAGGGTTCCTGGCTGAACTAGATTAAGAGCATTGTTTCTGTTTGGCCGACGCTTCATATCAACATCTTAGGTGGCCGTGCGCCAACAAACAGTCCACTCGCTAGGATTCTTCGTGTGAGAAACCACGGCCGCCTTTAACTCTAGGGGCCCATGTCATAATAAACTACAAGTTACATTCCATTAGATTTACATTGGGTGATCAGCTGATTTACTGATAATATTAGTTTGTACTTTATTTCGAAAAAAACGAAAAAGGTCCCGAACCACGGTTCGCAATTAGGGTTGTAACAGCTGTTTTGTTTTGAACCAATACTATTTAAATAGGGAATACATGTGATATTTTTAAGGAGACATTTTAGTGTGAATCCAATTAGGCAAATGGAAATTCGCTTAGTCTGCAGGTTTGCTGCAGCGGGGGTATATTTTATTTGTTGTTGGTTAAGTATACCTGTTTTGATCATTACTTTTAAATGGTTTCTGCCGTTGGTATGTATAAATATATAAATGTATCCCGGCAACCGGCCACCTAGTCCTGATGGTTGCGCGTTTGAAGTGGCAACACTGTCAGTAGTTCCTTATGTTTGGTCAGGAGATAGGAGAATATTATTAAACATTATCCTCCTATAGGAATTGTTTTGGAAAGAATAGGAATTGCATTCCTATCCGCGTGCCCTCTCCTTAATGTATAATCCTCCTAGGTTAGGAGGCAGCTACTGTAAATGATGTCCACCGATACGTACGCATTTAGTACAGATGAGTACGCAGATAAATAATTTTCATCGTAAATTAATGATATAGAAGCCATTTTTATCTGCATGATCACTAACGAAAGTACAGATGAAAGAAAATAAATTAAGTTGATCTATCATTGTATCCCTGATTACATTCGTTTCATAAACTCAAACTCAAATGAAGATTAATAGAGTTGGATGTACCTACAATAGTTTATATTTAACAATACGCAGTTCCACCTTGCCGCCTGTCCTGCCACGGCCACCTTTAACTCCAGGCCGTGGCCTGGTAGAATTGGCAACGTCACAAGTATATAGTGTGGTTTAGTGCCAGACGTCCCATAAGACAACATGGCAGACAGGTGACACCAGCTTATTAATTCTCGTATTATTATTTTAAACTTAAATTTACGGACATCAATCTATTAAATGATTTAAAAACCCGAAACAATATAAATTGAAAATCCATTTCTGTCCATTTAAAATTAATTGCTGAGTAAATATTTTTATAGCCTAGTAACCAATCATTCTTATTCTTAAAACATACAAAAATACTATTAGCTGCATCCAAACAAAACCGCTATTACAACACTACTTCCGACGTTGCCACCTCAAAGGCCGCGGCCTGTAGTTAAAGGTGGTCAAATCAAATCAAATCATTTATTCAGTCAGAATTAACAATATACAAGTTGTATTGGCTAAGTCAAAATGAAATAAAAGTTGGATACATATACTTAAGAACTATTTACAAATATATACAATCTTATACAATAATAATGGTGCAGATTTATATATAAATACTTACATCACACTATTCATGGAACTGAGTTTAGATGCAAATTCTTGGACGCTGTAACAGGTAAACTTAATCAACAAAGATTTTATTTGTCTTTTAAATTTTAACAGGTTTGGTTAAAGTGTAAGAAAAAGTGGAAGTGAATTAAAAAGTGTTATGCCATTGTACAGTAAGTGTTTCTTGAAGAAAATTGTTGAATATTTAGGATAGGTAATGTGTGTGAATTGCGCAACGTGTATTGGTTTTTTACAGAAAGGTCAAATTTAGAAAATTCCTATTTCACAAATGTTAAAGATTCAAGAATTTAAATGGATGGGAATGTCAAAATCTTTGAACTGGAAAATATTGTCGGCAGGCGCTTTTTTTAGAGAGAAAATTGTAATCACAGCAATTTTTTGGAGTTTAAACAACATTTTAGTTTGCTGGCACTCACATCCCCATATAGGAACGGCGTATGCTAAGTGGGGATAAATGAGCCCATAGTATGCCGTCAACATTATCTCCAGATTTTCATTGTTCCTGAGGTTACGTAAAACGAAGATACCAGAACTGAGTTTTTTTTTTAATGTATTTTATATGGTCATGAAATCTAAGATTCTCGTCTAAGATCAAACCAAGGAACTTGACATTTGGTGTAGGGTGGACCTCAGTTTCGTCCAGAAGGAGACTAAACCCACTGTTTGATCGGTTTGAATGATTTGATAAGCGGAAGTTAATGAGCTGCGTTTTGTCTGTGTCTGTGTTGAGCTGGTCGTGGTCCTGCCTACCTGGTTTATCGTATAGATTACACAACACTTTAAAAATAGACTTGGTGAGTCTTAAGCTCCCAGAGATATAAAACTAATTCTAAAAATATTTGTGCAATTTTTAAGAATATGAAAGCTTGGTTACAGGAACATGAAAATATTGACTCCATTTTAAATGGACAGAAATATATTTTCAATTTAAGATATATATTGTTTTTTGTTTACAACACTATTTTCAGACATTTTATAAATTTATATTTATAAATTTTAATTTATATGAATAACGTGATTAAATTAGTGGACGTCACCAGTTGCTGCACTATGGGACTTCCGGCGCTGAGCAGCACTACTTGCGGCGTTGCCAATTGTATCATGCCGTGGCCTGGAATTAAAGGTGGCCATGGCTAGACACGTCCCATTTTATACTATAACCATTAACCATTATAGGTATTCAAGTTCAATGATACATAAACATTGGTCTAGAAGTTGTATGCTATAAACCAGGCATAAGTTAAATAAATTAGTTAAATAAAAGGTTATACATGGTTATAGACAAGACTCAACAGCTCATCTGCTCCCTCGCGGGAGTTGAATTAGAAAATCAGCCAGTGAAACTGCTTGGATTCTATCTAGACAGCAAGCTCTCTTGGAATGATCATGTCAGCGTTGTGTGCAAGAAACTGTCAAGAGTAATCTCCCTGATCAGAAAACTGAAAAATTTGGTCACTTTGCAGTATCTTGTCGTCATCTATCACTCCCTGTTCCATACACACATCTCCTATGGACTGCTTTTGTGGGGGCACTCTGCAGCATGTGAGAGAGTCCTCCTGTACCAGAAGATGGTTTTGAGGATTATGACAGGAGCTGAGTATAGGCAACACTGCAAACCTTTATTTCAAGAGCTTGGCATCCTGATAGTCTATGGGAACTACGTGTTGAGCTCCCTCCTCTACGTAAAAGAGAATTTAGCTGATTTTCAAATAAGAGGGCAGCTTCACGGTCACAATCTGAGAAACAACGACCTGATCTCTATTCCCAGATGCCGCACTTCTAAAGTGAAGGACATTTTCCCACTACTGGCTTGTAAGATGTTTAATAGACTGCCTAAGAACATTAAGAACCTGGAGCCGAAACTGTTCAAAAAGAAGTCAAAGTCGTGGTGTTGCCAACAGAGCTTTTATTCCTTGGAGGATTACTTCAAAGCCCAGTTAGCTTTTTAATATTTTTTATGCCGCCTGACACTCAAGTTAATTAATAATAATTATATGTTGAAGTATTTTTTATTTGTAAGTTTTATGATATTTGTATCATTACTGATGCGACCTATCCAGAAATGGTCAACAGTCAAGAGGATGGTAATTATGGTAATTATACTCAGTGCAGTGGCATAGTGCCACTGAGCTATAATTCTAACTGGAGGTAGCACACTGAATGTCAAAGATGCGTGTCGCCAGCCGCCATGTTTGCGTGAGGTGTGAGTTAAAAAGAAGCCATGTTATTTGGATAAAAAAACTCACTGCTATACCAACCTAGTTATAGAAGCCATGTTATTGCTATGATAAGAAAACTCGCTGCTATACCAACCTAACAAAATCAGCGACACTGTTTTGACAGACTTCTGCCATGGCGGTGCTACCTCCAGTTATAATTTTAGCTCAGTGCATAGTGCATAATATCATAGACAAAACATACTCCCTTAGTAGATTTCTCATCCTTATGAACAGCTGAAGGCAATTTTATTGTTAGTTCATGTACGGTTTATGTAGAGGTCGTGTTTTGTTTACAATTTGTTTCCCGTTATTACAGCCATTTAAAACCTCGTTTAACCAAATAATACGATCTAATCATAAACAATAACTTGTCCCCTAGTTATATAACCAAACAGTAAAGCACAAACAAGAAATTAACCCTAAAATAATGGAAACAAAGTTTCATCGACACTAGCGCCTTTGTGTCACGTACATGAACTAGACACGAAAAACGTGCTTCAAAATTTACAATGGGGTGAGAACGGTGAGAAGTCTACTTGTGTTGGTTAAACCATAGATAAAACCATAGACTAACCAACACAAGTAGACTTCTCATCCCATTGTAAATTTTGAAGCACGTTTTTCGTGTCTAGTTCATGTACGTGACACAAAGGCGCTAGTGTCGATGAAACTTTGTTTCCATTATTTTAGGGTTAATTTCTTGATTTATTTGTGCTTTACTGTTTGGTTATATAACTAGGGTACAAGTTATTGTTTATGATTAGATCGTATTATTTGGTTAAACAAGGTTTTAAATGGCTGTAATAACGGGAAACAAATTGTAAACAAAACACGACCTCTACATAAACCGTACATGAACTAACAATAAAATTGTCTTCAGCTGTTCCATAAGGATGAGAAATCTACTAAGGGAGTATGTTTTATCTATGATAAAATAATACGATCTAATCATAAACAATAACTTGTCCCCTAGTTATATAACCAAACAATTAAGCACAAATCAAGAAATTAACCCTAAAATAATGGAAACAAAGTTTCATCGACACTAGCGCCTTTGTGTCACTTACATGAACTAGACACGAAAAACGTGCTTCAAAATTTACAATGGGATGAGAAGTCTACTTTTGTTGGTTAGTCTATGGTTTTATCTATGATAAAACATACTCCCTTGGTTAGTCTATGATAATATTCGAAAGTTCTAACTTGGCTCTTTGGGATTTAAGTACTTAGTTTGGTTGTCTGTGCATAATTTGAAAAACAGCAATACACCAAAAAGTGCGCAAAGACTATGAAAATAATCAAAACAATAACAACAAGAACAAACTGCAAACAACAAACAACGAAACAACTCAACAACTCAACCCATCATCAACTTTCCTCCTCCTGAGGCCTAATTTGTAAGAAAGTGTCAGTTCCAGTTGTATCATTGTATCAAGTGAAATAAAAAGATATCGCTTAAATTAGGTGTTTATTGATGTACATTTCATTCTAGCCTAGTCGTGTGATTGTAAACAATTATGGTTGCCAATACTGAAGAAGACGAGGACAGTCAGGATACAATCAATTATAAAGCACAATATAAAAATTTGAAACGAAAACTCAAGTTTCTTATGTATGTAAGTACCAAGAGTGAATATTGCATATCAAGCAATTTCCCTACAAGTTGAATACCTTGATTATTGACGGGTACAGTTTCTTAACTGGGCTAGGCCTTTTAAAATTAATCTATCATAACCTAACCTAACAAACCAAATAGTGATGTGACGAGTCCAGTATTTTCTTGACTCGAGTCAAACTCGACTCACGACTATGTCAACTCGAGTGAGACTCAACTCGGTATCATCGTGAAACTTCGGCCTCCATCGGTCGAGTTTGGGTTGACTCGCAGCGCAGCCAATAGCGTTTGCGTTTCGCGAGTAAACTCGTTACGTCCCGAGTTCGTAAAGGTTCGGCTTTCTCCGTATGAGTTCGGTTTCTTGACTCGCTTTGAGGCTGTGAGCCAATAGCGTTCAAGTTTTGCGAGTCGGACTCGTTACGTTCCGAGTTCGTGTAGCTTCGGCAATCTCCGTACGAGTCTTACCTACTCGAGTTGTGAATTAGATGACTCGAGTTGACTCGACTCGGGTCTTGACTCGAGTCAACTTGACTCGCCAACTCAACTCATCACATCACTAAAACCAAACTTGCTGATGGTGAAAAAATCCCATGAAGGTTTAAGTTACTTATCAAATCGATAGTTTCAATCAATATAAGTGTACCGGTAGCCCAGTTGAAAACTGTACCCCTGTATGATGTTTGCTCCTAGGCAACAATTATTGAGTTTACCTCTTAAAACTGTACATGTCTTATCCCATGATCAAGAAAAAAACCTAAAATCGGGTGCAAACCCTAATATGCATAGCCTATTAGGCCTAACCGAGGTGTGTCATAAGTTCATAAACACAACACACAGACCTAACTTAATACAGTAGGTAGTCTTTATAGGCCTAGAGCATAGTTTACTCTAGGGCTATTCTTTTGTGATGTGTACATAGGCAGGGCAATATGGAGGTGCACCAGAATTGTGGCAAAACTGGACTAGGTACCGTAGCCTTTTTTACTAGTCAGGGCTAGGATTAAAATTAACGTTGTAAACAAAATTTCTTTAGATTTTACAAGCCTTTGGTTTCAAATAATCTGGGTGGCGCATAAAAAATCCATGGATTTGAGTGGATGGGCGGGGACTGGTTGATTTTTGGGTTAGGGCGTTAAGTTTTTGTAGCAATGGTGCAGTGGACCGTGGCGCATTGCGTTTTTATCTGTTGAACATTTCTTCTAAAGTAAGGAACGTGTTATAACTGTTTAACGGCTTTTCCTTACACAGTTAAATGTTCCGCAAAAGGGTTTGATACCTGAGCGCAACACAATACTTTGTTGGAATGCCTCTTTTCGCACAACTGGACCAGTTATAAAGCAGAAGTCATCCGTTCATCCTCTCACGGTGCAAACTCCACAAAATGTCGACAGAGTCTGTTCTTCAAAACCCTTCCCGCTCCACTAGGCAGCGCTCCAACTGTGAGCTTGTTTTGATGCAGTCTCGCAGCGCACCCTGATGAGTTAAAATTACATCCTTACAAAATCATGATAGTAACTTTACAAAAGATTTATGAACGTTATTCTGAACAACGGAGAGTGTTTTTGTGAGAGAATGCTTGAGGTCCTTGCCACTCATGACGTTTTATTAGTGATGAAGCACATTTTCATTTGGAAAGTAGGCCTAATGTCAATTAGCAAATTGCCGGCTATTGGGCAGCAGAAAACTGAAAATAATTGCACCAAAACCACTGCATAGTGCGAAATTGACCGTTTGGTTATGAGTTTCAAAAGTGAGTATCGTTGGGCCTTACTTTTTTTGAGGACTCGAGAAATAATGACATGTTAGAGAAAAATCCATGGAACAGTTATAACAGATTCATTACTGTTGAAGAAATTTTCAAGCAAAACTGTTATATGCCACGGTCCACTGCACCATTGCTCCTAAAACTGGACGCCCTAACCTACAAAACAACCAGGCCCTGCCCTATTATTCCCACTATTCAATTTAAATCCATACGTTCTTTAAGTGCCACCAAGTACTATCAAAACATTACGATTTATAAGAAAACTTGGAAATCTATAGTAAAAACTTTATTTTATTTGACATTTACAACAAATACCAAGACTTTTCTGTGTTATTCCAAATGAGCCTACAGTAAGAACAAAATAGTTACAATTCAATAACAGTCAATTTTCTCAATTTCTTTATGTCAACGGGAAGTAGACATTCAGTTTGTGGTTATGGCGTACAATGTACCATTGGAGGTTACCGATTTCGTTAAATTTCTGGGGATGCACCTTGACTAAAGGAAAGGACTGATCTGGGGAGACCAAGTTTATTTGTGCCAAGGTTTCATCCGGCTTTACGTAATCTTGCAAGACTTTGCACAATTGAAGTGCTTTTAGTGGCATATTTTGGTCTAATCTACCCTCAAATTACATAAGGAATAAGAATGTGGGGTAGCTGTGCAATAAAGGCTAAAACCAGTTTTCAAACTACAGCAAAAGGCATTGAGGATAATTTGCAAATTGTGGCGGAGAGACTCTTATAGGAATGCTTTTACGGAGTTATGTAGGCCCACTGTAAGTATGAACGCTCATTAGTGCAGGGCAGAGACGTCCATATGAGACAAGAGACAGAGTCAATTATTGAACTCAAAACATAGAAGTGTGGCATTCAAGTTTTTGCCTTCGCAGAATGGTATCACAATCCTCATCAATCTCCCTGTTGTCATAATTAACAACTTGAAACAAACAAATCTCGGCTACAATACCTTTTTGTGTCCCAACTCCATTCTGTGCTTTATCGACATTTTCATGAACAACTGCTAGGATATCTAAATTCCATGAAATACAGCAACAAAAACAAAATTTAGGCGATGTTTAATTTTGTCAAAATACTAATTTTGACCTGGCAAAATGTAATTAATAACTTTGATTATTTTTCGGGGGGCCACCAGTTGACCGACAAGATACTTGGTCGTTTGGCCACTAGACCGACTTTTTTAATTAAATAGATAAATACTGAAAACCAGTACGTCGACAAGTTATTTCATCGTCAGTCCAGTTGACCGGCCTGTAAAACTAAATTATTATATACAAGAAACCAACTGGTAGTTAATCGACCCGACCGACAAACCACTTGCTCGTCCTTTAGGTGGGGATGTGTGGAGGCCGCTGCAGGCGTACCACAAATCTGTATCTTGCAGCGGCGGTTTTTATTCCGACGATTTTAAGCTATCACAATGCAGCGGACTGTGTAGTGAGGTTTTTTATTTACGTTTAATTGTTTATTTCTCAATCGATATTTTTTTGTACACAGTACAGTGAATATAAATAGGCCTATATTAATTTACTTCAATTAAATAAATGTTTTATTTAGCTACTACATTTAAATGATTGAAGAATTACATGAAATCTATTTGTAAAAACTCACTTTAAACATTTCATTACAGCTAAGAAAGTGGTGTCAATAGGTTAGTTAAATTCTGCCGTGGTAAGCAAAAAGGCCGTATCAACATAAATGACGAATCTGAGAAAATGGATGTTCTGTCAAAGCCAGTCAGAGTCATGTTTTTTCGATTTTTTATTTAACCGGTTGACCGAATTCAATAATTTTTTTTTTCAAACTACTTCTTTTTCAATGTAGGAGACTATGAATATATTTTTATTAATGTATAATGATACATTCATATTTTTTAATCCAGTTACCTTTTTTACTGTTAATGTTTTTTAGGCCAAAAAGCCGTATCTCAACTTACCTTTTTTTGGCTTAGGAAAATGTCTTTTAAGAAACAAAATTTTCCCATGCCAAAAGGAGGTAGGTTGTGATACGGCTTTTTAGCCTAATAAACATTAACAGTAAAAAGGAGTCAATCACCAATAAAAGGTACTTAGAATTAAACTATATATATAAAACTTGGAAAGAAGGTAGGGTGACCCGGGGCAATTCTGGCAGCCAGACGTGAACCTTAACTTTAACTGCTTGTACCGCGGTGAACATATTTTTCATTTTATTTTGACAATTACCATACTAATTCTATGTTATTCCTCTAGTGTTTTCATATATTTAGACAACAATCTCAAACTCCCCTTAAGGGGGTTTGAGGTTTTTTTTTTTGGAGTGTCAGATGCCAGAATTGCCCCAACCTTGGGGCAATTATAGCAATACCTTATATTTTCCTTATTGTTTAAATTGCTCTGACATTGGGGCAATCATGGCATAGGCCTAATTTAGCTGTTTAAGATGGTGTTTTAATTTTTGTTCTATCTCTATTTATAAGGAAGTTGTGAATAAACCGGTAAGACAGTACAAGCGTACAAGGGCCTTAACCTCAAAACTTCTAGCAACAATAAACAATAAAAATAATCAGGCTGCCATAGAGTAATCTAAGCAAAAGGTGTTTACAAAGCCATCCAAATGAACTGAAATGAAACATATTACACATAACACACGTTGTTATACAATTTATTCTTTAATTTATACATTATTTGTATAAAGATATATAGCTGCCATAATTGCCCCGGGTTCTTTGCCACAATTGCCCCATAGCATATGAAAATGGGGCAATTATAGCACCCATTTAAATTTAAATATCTTAAAGGGATAACTGCTATTACTATTTTTGTTCATGAAGTTTTAAGTCTGAACAATTATCTTTGAGTATAAAAAAAAATAAAATATAAAATTCATAGGGGAAAAAAAATTAGCCGTGTGCGATGTTTCGATATCCTCGGGCTGTGGAAGAAAGTCCTTTTTTAATCGCTAATAAAAATTACTGCAAACATTTTATTTTTACAAAAATGCTTTCCTATATATAGGAGGTATATGCTGAAATAACAAATATTGCTTCACTGATCTGTAAAGCTGAAATTTAAAAAAAATATAGGCCATTGCTATAATTGCCCCGTGCCAGAATTGCCCCGGGTCACCCTATATCTAAATATTTATCAGTTATACCTTCGTTCCAAGTTTCATGTAAATAGTTTAATTCTAAGTACCTTTTTTAGGCGATTGACCTGGGTCAACAAAATAAAATGAGCTATTTTGGCTGGTTTTTAGTTAATAAAATAGATAAATATTTTTTAATCGTTACCAAATTTAACATACGTGTAGAATACATGTGGATATACCTTCGTTCCAAGTTTCATGTATATAGTTTAATTCTAAGTAACTTTTTTAGGCGATTGACCTGGGTCAACAAAATAAAATGAGCTATTTTGGCCGGTTTTTAGTTAATGAAATAGATAAATATTTTTTAATCGTTACCAAATTTAACATACGTGTAGAATAGTTTAATTCTAAGTACCTTTTATTGGTGATTGACCTGGGTCAACAAAATGAAATAAGCTTTTTACGGCAGTTTTCTGTTAATAAAATAGGTAACTATTTTTTAATCGTTACCAAATGTTACATACGTGTAGAATACATGTAGATATACCTTCTTTCCAAGTTTCATGTATATAGTTTAATTCTAAGTACCTTTTATAGGTGATTGACCTGGGTCAACAAAATGAAATAAGCTTTTTACGGCAGTTTTTTGTTAATAAAATAGGTAAATATATTTTAATTGTTACCAAATTTAACATACGTGTAGAATACATGTGGATATACCTTCGTTCCAAGTTTCATGTATATAGTTTAATTCTAAGTACTTTTTTTAGGCGATTGACCTGGGTCAACAAAATAAAATGAGCTATTTTGGCCGGTTTTTAGTTAATAAAATAGATAAATATTTTTATATCGTTACCAAATTTTACATACGAGTAGAATACATGTGGATATACCTTCGTTCCAAGTTTCATGTAAATTTCTACATTCAAAGTGGTTTTTTTCTAAATATATTGAATTTGTTGACCCGGGTCAACAAAATAGGGAGTCCCACTGAAAACAGCCTATTGTGATACTTTCCCTCCAAGTTGTTTTTTTGTAAAATTCATTTACCACCTAACAACAAGATATTCATGTGATGCATAGAGTATGTAAAACAGAAATTATAGGAAGGTCTTCAAAATTTAATGTTTTGCTTTCCTATGCATTTTAATGGTAAAATTTTGAACCGTAAGTGGATTTGGGCGAGACTATACTAAGCCAAAAAACAGTAAGGCAGAAATACTATTCCAGAAAGCCGTAACTGTTTTTTGCTTACTGTTTTCTGGCCAAGTAAACCAAAGTTACGTTGTTTTGACTTAGTATTTGCACATTTGTTGGTAGATACGGTAAATAACAGTTTGATATCTCAAAAACGGCTTGAGATACGGTGTTTTCGCCTACATTTTTGGATTCCTCGACCTTCAAAACATAAAGATTTGCACTTGCCTCAAAATGTGATATTTTTGTAGTTACTGCCTTTTAGCTTACAAGGGCAGAATTATAATCCTCCGCGAATTCTATAATTGAAATTCACTACTTCACTACTTGAAACTCCTTTGCAAATAGTGGTTATTCAACGATTGTAATCACTTAAACAATGTTTGGTATAACAAGCTTTGACCCTGGTTGAGAAGTATATTTCCTGAATATTATAGCATTTGGAAACAGAATAAATAAACATTGTTATTATCCATTTTTAATATAGCGCAGTTATGGCAGAAAATATAAATTTAATTGATTTGACAGTAGAAAGCATCGTTAGACCTGTGTTTGAGTCAAAATTTACAATAACCCAAACCTCTCTCTTCAATAAGATACCATCTTGATTTTAAGTTAAAGAACTTCAGAAAATTTCGGTGAATAACCAAATACTGTAATAAATAAATATCAGTAGGCCTAAATATATACACCTTAAACAGTGAAAGAATCCACTTTCTATTTTTATAAGTTTGTTGTTGTTAATTTTGTTTTTATCTTAAATAATTTTTAGGAAAATGAGTGCTTTCAAGAAGCATTGCGGTCAACTCAGCGTCGTCTGTTGAAAGCCAGTCGAGATCGCAGTTTTCTACTTGACAGACTGTTAAACTACGAGAAGGTTGAAGCAACATCCAGTGAGGGCGAAGAAACAGAATCTTCTGATGATGGTGAAATAGCTCGACCAGATGCAAAGAGGTAGGCTAGTGTAATTTATGTGGTTTTTCCCGCTATTTTTTAACTTTTTTTATTTTTTACTGAGTACATAATAAAATAGATAAACACTCTGATTCAGGGTTCAACTTTACTCCCTTTCATATATTGTAATGATATGCTGCATCAATTCAAAACATGTCTGAACTTTCTCAAAAGCTTTTGCAGATACATGCACTAGTTAAATATTTATTATATGTTAATTCTTGTTTTGTTTAAGTTTATCAATATTATCAGTAATGTGGGCTGCTTGTGTCTCAAACACGTTTGCTACTGAGCGTCGCATATATGTGACGCCGCGGTCATTGCCACAGACCGAGGTATACATTTGAATCTTACACATAGACCGGCTGTCACTTGGTTAACAGTACACACAGACCACGGGAAAACCTGTAAAACAGTGATCATTTACATTGTAATACGCTGCAATCGTGTTTGTAAATAATTTATTCTTGTTTTTTTTTATTTTTGATAACCTTTTGTAATGTCACATATTTGCGACGCCCGGTCTACAGCAAAGACAATAGTGAAAATTATCATAGTTTTTTTGAATCAGCCCAAACGCCGTATATATGCGACAGTTAGTTTTTTTCTTTCTTTGAGGTGAAAATTCCAATGTGAATATTTTGTCCTCAGGAGGAAACTTGAAATGAACTCCAGTAGTAGTTATAGCTCCATGGTAAGTGGGCTGCCTAAAACTCCGTCGTCTGCTAAGAAGAAGAAACCTCCTACTCCAAAGCCAGTTACTAAATCCCTCAGTCAGCCACAGGTAAAATATGTTTAATAAAGCATTATATTTGATTAAAAAGAATTTTATACTCTTGGTACCTAATAGTATGACATTATTTTACCTGGAATTTGTCTGTCCACATCATGGACCCCAGAGGCCCGTGCTTGGAACGTATACAGCAAATGAAGGAGTGAAAAAGTCTTAACGCAGTTGTTACATTAGGGTAGGCCTTCATCGCAATGTAACAACAATAAATTGATTTTATTGATCTAGCTTATTACAAAAAAGGCTTAACACCGTTCTTGCTGTGGCTTCTTTTAAATTTTTGTCAACTATTAAAGCATGGTGCTTAAAACTTTCAATTTCACAAATGAATGAATTAATCTTTATTTAAATCACCAGAGTACAAATCAGCCAATTGCATTTTCTTGATTTCTTCCCCGTTTGAAAATCAAAACATGCTATTGATGTGGTCTAAAGCATTAAACCTATTACTTGCATGTGCGCACTACACCTTGCGTCATGGTCAAGACCACACTACTCGTCACTGTGGCACGGCTTCCTAGTGGCCATACTATTAACTCTATGTTCATTCATTTGTTCCTTTAGAGTTATGTTTGTAGTTTATGTCATTGAATTAATTAAATATATGAATTACGCTTATGAAAAATAAGCTCCTGAAAAATAACCGGCTGATGCATAGATGCTTAGCAATGATCAGTGGCTGATGATGGTGTGTTACAGATACAGATGGTGTTGGGCAGTTCTGGAGACGGACACATGACACCAGAGGAGGTAGAACGCCACCTAGAGGCTAGACAACCTCATTACCTAGACATGGACCAGGCTGTGGCTACCATACCCTCGGAGATGTTTAGCAATGATCCATCCCTTGACATCGACAGGTATAACCCAAATGATTTTTTTACCAATATATTTTTTCGGATAGAATGTTACAGCATGACATTGCCAAAACCCTAAGACAACAGCTGTGTTACTGTTAATTTACAAACGGAGGAGGCTTCCGTTTCTGTGATCGAACAAGAAAGGAGAAATTGTGATCAAAGGAGACGGTCACAATTTTATCCTGACTGCAGAAATGTTTTCAATTTCTCTGCAACCATAAGAGATTCTGGCAATGCAACCGCAGAAGACGTTCCGAGATTTTCTATGTAGATTTGCTACTAACTAAGATCAGCAGAGTTATAATCAGTGAGGATTATTTATTTAAAACCGGATCAGGAACAGCTGGGTCCGGAGACATTGACTTTTCTCAGGATCGAACCTGCGACCTTTTGATTGCTAGTAAAGAGTTTTATACTTAAAACACTGTTTAATTTAAAATATTTTCATAAAATATATGTTTCAGTGAATCAAACGAGCTGTGTGATATGGAAACCTCGCCGAGCAACTTGGGCGAAGACTGTCTCAGTGTTGATATGATTGCTGATTAAATGTGTGTTGGAGAACAAAATGAATGCCATGCGTCAACTGGTTCACAGATAAGGACCTCTTATTTATTTCTTCTAGTTTTTTTCTGTTTCCATAATCATATTTTGGTTAGCATTTAAGTTTTTTGTAAAAATGTATTTATTTATTAAATTAGGTTTTTGAAATTTTAAAATATCATAGAATGCCAAATAAAAAAAATAGAAATCAGAAATATTTTGTTTGTTCTACAACATACGATTATGTTGTAATTAGCCATGTTGTTCCTCCTGACAAATAGTCTATTGACAATAATTATTTGTCACCCCTCCCTTTTTTTTTATGAACTAACAACTAAGTCATGTAACTAACTAGTGATATGTTGATTCTCGATACTAATACCTAAAAAAATTGATTCTCGATACCAATAACAATTTTTTTAAGTTTTACAAATGCATAGGTTATTCTACACCAACTCCTATCTTTATGTCCTTCCATAAAGTATTTTTGAGGTAATTGGGGGTATTTCGAGTAAAGAAAAAATTAATGCTACACAAAGAAAAGTTCTTACTAGCTGATTTAAGTTTAACCATAGACAAAAAGAATTAAATATAGACCGTCAGCTGTGCTGCGGTTACCAGAGCTTCTGGCGCACACCGCTTGGAGCGCCATGTATTTACGGCGTACGCGCTACGTAAACTACAGTGGTGTGCGCCGAAACCTATGGTAACCGCAGCACGGCTGACAGTCTATATTTAATTCTTTTTGTCTATGGTTTAACCCTTCTAAACACATTAAATAACTACCATATCAAAAGTAAATGAAGATGTAATAAAAAATAAAATTTTATGTCATAGTGGTGTGCTAGCCTAATATTTTTGGTCCAGCACGGACATGTGGACATTATCATTGTCTTCATCATTTCTGTGGTCATGTAGATATCATTATCGTTTCCCACGGTTACGAAAAAATTTCTGACCACCCCTTGCACTAACGGAAATGTCATCTTTGTCTTGCACGTTCGAGTAAAATCTTGAACATCTCCTGCGGTTCTGTAGACATCATCATCGTTTCCTCTGGTCTTGAAAATTTTGAAACTTAGTTGTCATGCGCAATCGCAGCAATAGTGGTAATTTTCCGATCTCGCAATCTTTGCAGACATGGCGGGTATCTGTATTGGAATTAGTTTTTGACGATCGATTCTCAATACTGATACCAGTCTCCAAGTATCTGTGGTATTGAGAATCAACATATCCCAGCGATGTAACTATATTCTACTAATTAGGCCTATCGAATGTGTTGTCCAAAGTAAAGTACAACCAAACTTCTCTTTAGCTCCTGTTTTACCAACCCCGAGCATTTGACCTGCCATTCCAGGCTATATACTAAACAGGGTGTTTATTTTTTTATATCTTATTTCTATTCACAAAAAGTAAGAGTGTAAGAGAAACCCAACATTTTTATATTTTCCTTTTATTATTCATTAAAAATATATCGGTGGCGTTTTGGTAGCCAGAAACTTAAACTCGACAATACAACTTATCTACTTCAAGATGTTTAAGTAAAATGTACAAAGTTTGTCCTTAAATTATCATTACAATAAAACTAAACACACACATACATACAATATCACTGAGGCAAATAAATCAAAATTAGCTAAAATATCAATCTAAGTATATACAACATTCGAAATAAATATCTATTTGAAATCCATTTGAGTATTCAAAATCTGTGCTGTTAAAATGTTCACATGAAGCAAACGAAACACAATGAAAACATACAATGGTAATGTATTATTTGGACAATTTTATTAATACAGTAGAGTCCCGTTAGTCCGAAATGGTTGGGACCGAGCCCATTTCGGATTAGGTACCAAATATTTCGGATTAAAAGTTTTTTTTTATATTGATTTTTGTCTTACAACGCAGGTACGAGCCAGGGATTGTTTTTCACATTACTTAAGGCTAGACCTAGTGGCTGCAGCATTATCACTTAATAAAATCCATTTGTGATTTGGCGGGATTGGAACCCGGGACAAAAATGAAAAATGTTATTAACAAAAATGGTGAAATATTTACTAAAATACTCTACAAAAAAGTCTATCTCGCCCGGCCGCTACAGAATACTTTGGCGAAGTACAGTTAACTGTGAAGTTTAATAAAAAAAATGTCAAACAATTTTAAAATTTCAAAAAAGTTTATTTTTTTTTATAAAAAAAATATAAAAAATATATTTTTTGGTCTCTGGTTAAGCGGACTTTCGGATTACCGAAGTTCGGCTTATCGGGACTCCACTGAATTGAAGTCATTATCTGATTATAAAACCGTATTTAGATTTATTAAATGTTTAACTAATGTGGATACTAAGTAAAGTTAATCCAAGACAAACTAATTTAATGTTTATTTAGGGTTTTTTGAGAGGATAGCAGGCTTACCTGAATGGGAAAGAGTCCAAACTGGCACAGGAAACACAAAACAAAACTTTACACTATATACACAAAACATTAGAATATTTCACTGTCACTGACAGCATTTTCAACTAAGGAAGAGGAAGAGATAGTTTTCTAGATGTCCAAAATGGTGGCCAGTGAGTTGTTGAGTCAGTGTTGCCAATAGTATCAATTCAATTGAATTCATACTATTGGCAACACTGACTCAACAACTCACTGGCCACCATTTTGGACATCTAGAAAACTATCTCTTCCTCTTCCTTAGTTGAAAATGCTGTCAGTGACAGTGAAATATTCTAATGTTTTGTGTATATAGTGTAAAGTTTTGTTTTGTGTTTCCTGTGCCAGTTTGGACTCTTTCCCATTCAGGTAAGCCTGCTATCCTCTAAAAAAACCCTAAAAAATCTAGGCCCTTGTGCTCTATGCTACACCCTTAATTTAATGTTTATATTTTTTATTTCAAAAGTATTCCAAACTTAACAACATTGATTTGAGCAAATTTATTTGTAGATTTTGTTTGATGCGACCTTAATCCTACAACATACATTCTCCTAATTTACTGGTTTCTTAATCTAAAACTTAAGGATATTTTTACAAGGGTAGAGAACTGACATTATTCTATTTTGGCCTCTTAGTTTTTCTAAATCATACTTCTTCATTACCGTAGTTGTAAATTATTTTCTGTTTAGAACTCTTCTTTGAAACCATTTTTAACTCACTTTGTAATTAATAACTTATACTAGTTGTAATAATTGGGCGGTTGAAAATGAATGAATAAAACAGTTTTTGAATAAAATCACTATTATAGTCAAGATAAAATCAATTCTCTGTGCATGTAAGAAAAAGGTTCATTTAATTGTGTTAGAATGAAGAGGATTAAAATTACATGTGGGACTTTTCAGTATGAATCCAAATCTTTAGAGTAAACTAAGGTACATTACAAAAAAAAAAATTGGCAAATGTATATAAAAAGAAATTCTATCTGGAAAGCGTGTGTTTGAATGTTGGTTTCAAAGGAGGGTTAGACAATGCAATGGTCAGTCCAGGCTAAACTAATCTTAGAGGATGGTATCAGTACATCAGGCCAGGATGTAGGCCCCGATGGAAAAAGACGTTAGGATTGGTGGACAACGTTGGCTCAACTGTCGTGTACATGCTTGCATCGAATCCACTACCTGCAAACATCCATGCTCATCAGTTAACCCATAGGCCTACTTTCACACAAACATTCCGTCCCACTACCATAATACTTTGACATGTTACAGACTGTTTCCATGATGTGTCAGTGTTAGTTGTTTACTATTTCTTGATATTACTACCATTTTAAGAAGCTTTTTTTAACACGTTTACTGCGACCTACTGCTAAAGCAGTAGCTCGGCACTGGCACTGCTCGCAGCCTACTGCTATATCAGTAGTGTGCTCGCTTGCCAAATATTGCGTCTGTCTGAGCCCAGCACTCGACCGGTGACAATGTGATTGTTGCCAGGCTGTAGCTTAGAATACGAGCTTTATTTTGGTGTAGGTTGGTACTAAACATTCCCGTAAAATCCCGTCTGGCAATGCTTTTGTCCCGTTTTCGGGGTTTTTCTGGTTATTGATCCAGGCAGTGCTGATACCTTTGGGTGTTTCAGTGAACTACGTCCACTTTCGTGGTAACGCAGAACAATCACAATTGCTCTTTTGTGATTCGTCTTACTGAGATATTTAAATGCCATTAGCGACCACTGATTCAGTTAGCGCGCCGGAGCTCCTTCTGGGCCTCGCCGCAGTTTAGGAGCACCTGTTTAAAGGTTTTCAGCAGTCAACGTGTTAAGTAAAGGCCTTTGTGGGTATAGCTCTGTAGTTCGCATGTACGTTATGAGATGACATGCCGCTTATTGACATAATTTTTAAACAGAATCGTGCTATTCATAGCTCTTTAGGTGTCATGTACGCTGCCCTGTGTATATGAAACATTTTTTTCAATTATTGAATCTCCCGCCGCATGCCAGATAAGATCAGTGATACGATTTTCTCTTCTAACCCATTTTACCCTTACTTATTGCATTAACGCCATAGCCTTCAGTCTTCTGGCGATGAATGTCTGCAACGTGGAGGTTTCTTGCAGTCAGAAAACATATCACTGACCTTATCTTACTTGCAGCTGGAGATTTAGTAATTTAAAAAATTTTCTAGACACATTGAAACGTACAGAGCTTCAAATAGCGCTATTCTGTTCGCAAATGATTCCAGCGAGCTGCCTCGTTGCGGCATACACACAAACTACAGGCTTCTTCGTATTTCATTAAGTGTTGCTTCTCTGAAGTTTTGCATTATTTGAACGACAATGCCGTTTTGGCTTGTAGCAAACCATATATTATATCAAATTAACAAATCAGCTTTTTAAGGACGTATTTCGGTAATGCAATGTAGGGGTACCATTCTAAGAATTACAAGTACTCTAAGTATAGTTATGTTATGTTTGGAATGAAAGCTTTGGTTCAGAATTATCTACTTATTTTGTGAGAATTCCTGATAGTTTTGACAAACAAATCTAACATTTGGAATAACAATTTCAACAAGTGGCAAAACATCAATTTAGGAGGTTTGTACAGCTAGTTTCATGCCGGTGGGTTAACACTTTAATAGACAATTAATAGTCAGCGATCCATCTTAAACTATTTACTGTACAAATGCATACAGCTACATTTTGTATTATATTTTTTTACAACCTCTAACCTATCATGCAAGCTGCTGATGATTTGCACCTTTTTTACACCAAAATTGTATAGTGTTTAGGCTTTGAGCCTTACATCTATCTCTTAAGTGAAAAGCATAAATAAATAAAATTAATAAACACACATAGCGAGGTGCTAATAACAATAGCACAATTGCTGAAGGTAGCAAATTTATAAGAATATTAATTATTAGCCTAATACATAGATTATATATACAAACACAATGGTAAAAATATAATATCAAGACAAGGATCTGTTGAAAAGATAAAAAGAGCTAATTTTCAAAACCGGGATGAGTGATAAGATGTAGTGAAAACACAACCAATATTGTATTTACAGTTTTACCAGAATTTATTTTTAGTATTTGACTATTTTACCCCAATATCCATGTTTAGTAGTTATTTAACAAAGATTGTACAGTACTTACAAATAATGAGTGTAGAATAGAGTGATATTTGTAAATTTATTACTCACATTAGGCCAGGTTTTTGAGCGAGGACAATTCATTAATATCCAATGATCCAGGACTGCTGAGTCCTTATATCAAAAAGACATTGGCTTTCCTCAGGATCAAACTCGCAACCATGTGATTACACCAGCATCCCGATAATCGGAACATCTGACTAATCCGAACCACTTGTTAAGGATAAAGTTTACTTTATTTAAAATAAGAAAAAACTATGTGTAAACCTGGTTTGGCTCATGTAATGGGAAGACGATTATGGTGTCAACACAATCATAGGAAATAATTACAAGATATTGCCATAATCGCAGTAGCAATTTAAAAGTAAGCCATTAACAGGTATAAAAATACATTGCTTTAATTTCTAGATGAAATTTTACGGAATTTCTGGCTAATTTTAAAGGGATCAGCTCCCAATTCGGATTAACGAGACTTTGGTGTATTATTGTGAGCATACTTAGCCACCTATCTTGACAAGCCTTTAACTCTTACAGGATATACCCTACCTGGCATTGGTCTGGCGTGGGGATAATAGCAGTACGGGTAGTAGTGGTGGGGGTGTCCGTAACTAGGGGGTGGAGCAACTAGAGCAACTCTGTCTGAAACTGTACAAACTGACCCTTATTATATACACACTGTACAAATGTACAAGAGAACAACACTACTTATACACCAGTACGTAGTTAAAGCTCTGCTCTACCTCTGCCATTACAAACCGAAACCGTGATGTGTTGTCTGTACAGTTAACGAATACTGTTTCCAATTCATCATTCAATTGTCTGGGTAGCCGAGTGGTTATAGTGCTCGCCTTCAAATCTGAAGGTCCCTGGTTCGAATCAAAGCGAGATCGTTTCCAGACCCAGATGCGATTTTTCATTGGGCTATGAATTAATGATGCTATCTAACAAAAAGTTTGACGTTAGATGGTAACAAGACCAGGGTAAAAAACAAACATATACCACTGGCGTGAAAACACACAAAATAAAATAAAAAATTACAGCAGAACTCTAACAATCCAACTCGTCAAATATCCAAATCTCTTACAGAAATAATTTATAAAACCTAAAACTACGGTGATAAGAACCAGTTATTAAAAAACAAAGAAGCCTTGATCGTAGAAAAATCGTGAATATCTCCCCAAGTCTTGTAGACATCAACATCGTCTCCCGAAATCACAGAAAATCATCATTGTCCTCTGTAACCGTGGCGTAGGTGTAATTATTTCAATTATGAAATCCTCGCATATACGTTCTATGATCAAGATAGTAAAAACTCGGTTCGATTAAGCTTTTATTCTAAAAAATACCCTGAATCACTGTAAAAAAAAACAATTATTCTATTTTTTGTTTGTATAGGAATGAGGCACTCTCCCAGTTGATTTGAATAGTTGGAGTTGAACTGTACGGTATTGACTTAAATGCATTTTGTACCTACTCTATTTAGGATCTTTGATTATTTAAAAATACTTTATAGAAAATCTTATTATGGTAAAAGAAATAATTTAAACTGCTGAAACTACTCACCAATACATTATTGAGCGAATAGAACTTAAAAAGTGAGTACTAAATATATTTTTCTGTTACATCCGTTTGTTTTCTACATGCTATTTTAATTATTGACGCTTGGTGGATAATTTATCACTCTCAATTCAAATGTCCACAAACCAACGCCAATAAATGCTGCAAATGTTTGTCCATACACAAATTTAAATACTTAATCTCTTTTGTTATAATGCTTTTCTCTAAAGATACGAAACAAATAGATTTTAGAAGACAGTTTTTTTGGTAGAGGCAGAGCGTTCACTTTTACAGCCTAGTGATTTGCAAAATAAACATTCAGATTCAGAAGTTTAAAGGATTGTGTGAACCTCCTATTTGAGGTGGATACTTTACATTTCTACCCATTAAGTTAAGTGTGAAGTAGAGTGAAAGGAAAAAGTTTAGGTGATACCCATGCTAAGACAATATTTACATTTGATTTGCAGTCAATGTATCTTTTGTAAATGTTTATGTCCACCTAACAAAATTGTGTCTTAATCAATTAAAATATTAAAATATGTTCAGCAAACAATGTATTTTGCATAGCCTCCTCTAGTACAAGCCGCGGCAAGACAAAAGTGGCAACACCACTGCCTCGGCAAACCGAAACAGCCGTGGCACTATTTTAAGTGGAGCTTATAGGCAATGTTTGTTATTAACATTGCAACAGCCATGCCAGTGCAATGTTTGTACACACTAACGTTGCAGCCTTGTATTAGAGGAGGCTATCATTTTTGTCATCTTGAAATTTTTGGTAATACTGTATAACTCTTATTGAAGAAGTTTTTGTAATACTTCCCCTCTCTCCTGATATTTTTGGCTAAGCAGTAATGCCAATTAACTCCAAAGAATATCAGTAAAAAAATAAAATACACCAATATGTAAATTAGATTTTTAGTTTTTTTGTTTTGTTTTGTTATTCAGTATTAATTTAACTTACACATTTTTTGAGGCAATTACAATTTTAAAGAAAAAATACCACACGAGGTACAAACTTTTAATACAGTTTCTTTCTAAAATATAAAGATCTGTAAAAATCTGAATAATGTCTAGAGACTTGGGTGTTTGCCTTTATGATATATTGATATTCCTTCATAATTTAACTCATCTAGTTTCCAATTTGTTGTAAACATATATGTGAGACTTGAAGAAAGTGACATGCGAGTGAGTCTTTACAAAGAAGAGAATTTTACAAAAGGTTGAATAACCAAACATAATATTGTAGAGTTTTTACATATAGATGAACTCGTGGATCAACTTAGATGAATATTAAAATCAAAACCAAACCTACTTTTAGTTCTTGAGTGGGAGTAGCTGCCGTACGTGTGTGTTGTGATCGGAGGTTGTTTGATGGGTTTGAAGTGGAAGAAGGAAGGGGAAGCGGCTCTACTGAGTGACGAGAACTTCTCCTCCCGATCCTCGACGTACATCCCCTCCCGACCCATGGCTGCCAACTGACGACCCTGGGGGGGATAAAATATCTTACAACAGAAACTAACTGAAATACAGCATACAAGAGACTTGTAATAGTCAATATGGTACAATATGATAGTAATAATTTTTTTTTTTTGTCCTATGACACTAGGCACGACGAGCCTGGGATTGTTTTTCACATTACTTCAGGCTAGACCTAGGGGTTGCGGAACTATCACTTGGATAAAATCCATTGGTGACTTGGCGGGGATCGAACCCGCCTACTATACATAAGAGATGTCCAAACCAGTATGCGAGTGAATGTAAATTTAAATATTGTAGATTACTTTTATATTTTTTACATCATCATATTTTTTATATTCTATAATCAGTCAGATAAATTATTTTAGAGTTACTATTTGATTAAGGTCTTGCTGTTTATTTTTTGTTTATTCTTTTAATAAAAGTTTCAGTTTTGCTCGATTTCGAGCAACGGGTTATCTAGTAAAATAAAAATACATTTCATGTTAGATCTTATTGGATAACTGGAAGCATCACTATTATTGAAAGCTAAATAGTAGCCTAGGAGTACAACAGAAAAAAGCGTACATGAATGTATTAAAAAGAAAAATAACACCAACCAGGATTTTTTTTAAGTAAACTGGCGATAAAAACTGAATAAAAAAATTGCATTTCAAAATATTACCATACGGTAGTGATAGGTACCCATAATAAAAATCACACAAGCATATTTACATACAACAAGCTCTATGGACTCATAAAATATTGCTAACACTTTTTTTTAGATCATTTCAGACTGTTGTGATTCTACTGTTTGAGCTAAGGAACAAAATACAAACTATAGACTCTCTGAAATTTAATAGTTTTGTGGGAAATATATTAAACAGTTATTTTTAACCTTTTTATATAAACAACCTCTTCTTTGTTAAATTTTTTGACAAAAGACCATTTCTTCAATGTACGTACATAATATAAACTAGATTTTATGTTCTTAGAATATATTCGATTACCTTTGGCATAAACATGATAAGGAACACTATTAAGGCACTTCCGCTGAGTCCGAACGCCAGACAGGCATCTCGGTTCCTCTCCAAAACAACCTGGCAAACACATTGACAATTAATTAATTACTAACTTTACACATCCATACAAGACATAAAAATACTTGAGCACCATTAGGGTAGCAATACATTTTCTTCAGAAGAAAATCAAGAAATGTATTGACATATAATTTATATTCCACAGATTTGCAGATAAACATAAACAATTTTCTATGAAACCTAGTGAATGGATGTTGTTTGTAGATGTTTATTATCATATTGACTGATATTAAAAAATACAAGTTCTAGCTCACAAAATCAGTCTATACCCATGTTCTATGAATACAATGTAAACTTAAAACATAATAGTAAATGGTAAAATCTTACAAATTTTATCTAAAAAATATGTAGTTTTAATCTACTAAATGGTTTGAGGTCAGGTAGTATAATGTAAATAAATTCAAATAAGTTTTGAAATATACCAACCAGGCCACACAGTGCCCACCCCAGCCATACTGGGATGACGCAGGCGACAGCTAGTCCGATAAAAGTGGCCTCGCGATAGTTGTCTCTGATGCCCCGCGACTTGACCGCCAGCACTGCCACCACGACAATCAGAAACACAGCGTACACCAGCGATAACAGGAGGTGATGGTACGGAGTGTGACAAGCCTGGTGAAGTCCCACCTGCCACAGAAGTAACAATTAAAATTAATTATTAGGGAAAACATACAGTTGTGTATGTTATGGGTAGACTAACACAACTTATGTTGAAATGGGGGTTCTCCAAGGTTCAGTTTCGGGACTGTTTCTCTTTTGTAATTGCAGTTATGCATCCAAAAATAAATAAATTAACAAGGCAAAATTAACACAATAAATAATTATTTATTAATCAAGGTGTTTGGGATGAACTGTGTATTATTTTATGCAGATGTTATCTCTGATATATCTGTAAAAGGCAAAACAATTGACTAAAACCTAAAATACATCATCTCTGTATTGTGGAAGCATTGCTATAGATTTGGTTAGGGTGCACTGAATAATCCTGTGTTGAATTGAATATTTATTTTTCAAAGTGAACAATCAATATCACCAAGACAGAATATTTCAAATTAAAACATTTAAAGATTATTTCTTTTTTACAGTTGATTTCAAGATTCTTCAATTCATATAGTGGGTAGTGAAGCCACATATTAAAACTAAGCTTTCGAATGCATGGTTTGAGAACTGTAGATTTTGAAGCAATACAACAAAAAATATGTAGACAATTAATATTTTTTATATTTTGACACAAAGAAATATTATTCCAGTTCCAGCATGAGAGTCAGCTGTGATTCAGGAAGTAACTAAACAAGAGTCAATTAATAAAGTGATAGGATCAGCTGTGAAAGTGATCCTACCAGCTGATTGTGTGGGAAGTAGTAGCTATTATGCAAATGTGGCAGCAATCTGCTGAGAGATTATGTTTACAACGCAAAATAACACTGTTTAGGCTAACTGAACACTTGTTTTGGGCTGACATTTTGCTTCAGGGGAACTCCTTTGGTTACTTGCTTTAGTTATGTAAAGTATGTGGTTAAATCTCATTGACAAACTGAGAACAAGAACAAGAACTGAGAAAAATTCCAACGGCTTGTTAATGGAATCATTTGGTACTGGATGGGCAGTTCGTGACAGTTTGTGCTTCTATTATAAGTCTATAATTATAAGTATGCTTCTATATACTATTATAAGTCAAGTGCTTCACACATTACATCGCACAGCTCTTTTTACTAAATCTTCCCAGCATCGCATGTGATGTCCCTTGGCTATCCTTACATTGGTTATGGGGTTAAATTTAAATGTGTCAACAACATTCCAATATGCCTGAAATGTTGTGGGTTTTATTTTAACTTAAGAACGTTAAACCATTGAACGTTACATGAGATTGAACCAGCAGTAATTCTAATATATTCAAAATAACTTTACTTTCTGACTAATATTTTTAACATTCAGTTATTTTTGACGACACTAATTTAGATAGTCAGGTAATCAAATAAACTACCTGGATAACTTTAGGCGGGTTGTTGATTAGCCACTGTGCTCCGATGGCGAGTTGTATGAGGACGGCGAAGAACAGCAACAACGCCTGGTAGGGAGCCGGGAGGTACACCCCTCCATTGAGACTGATCAGGAACACACACTTGACGAGGAGTGTGCTGAACACCAGACTATAGGCCAGACCAGCCCCCAGTCTGACACCAGCGCAAGTCACGACGGTGGGCTGGGCACAACAGATTGATTTAACATATTAATGATTAAGTGGTATTTTAAATGGTTTTTAGATAAAAGTCCAAAACCATTACTTGTTATGCTGACCTAGTGGTCAGAAGGTAGCTGGTACGATCCTAAGAAAAGTCTTAAGCTTCTTGATAGTTTGATACTGGACCCCCTACCCTAATTGCCCTTGATCATTGGGCTTAATAAATTATCCTTTCTCAAATCAGCTGATCTCAGCCGATAGTAAAGCTGTCTGTATTTGATAATAATTTTTCGCTAATCTCTCTCTTAAAACATACACCCTGTTGTCAGGGCCGTCCGATGGGGGGGGGGGGGCAGTTGGGGCAAGCTGCCCCGGGCGCTGCAGCCGAGGGGGCGCCGTACCGCGGCTATTTGTATTAACACAGTATTAAAAATATGCGAATGCGACTAATACTGGAGGGAGTAGGGGGCGCCATGACCATGTTTGCTCCGGGCCCCGCCAACCCTAGGGACGGCCCTGCCTGTTGTGTCAGCTTTGTATCCATTTTAATCTATTTAAACTATAGTAATTTAATCTTTGGATATAGATGCATCTTATGTTGACTTTTTGTTAAAAACAATTAGTGACAAATTTTGGCCCATAGCCCATAATCCCCCCCCCTCACCATAATCCCATAGCCCTTAATGCTTGGGATTGAATCGGCTACCTTCAGATTTGAAATCAGCACTATAACCAAGGTACTCAAACACCCAGACAGTATTTAATTATACAACTCTTAAACCATATTTTAACCATGCATTTTTGAAATTAAAATAAAATGTCATCAACAAAAATTATATGCTGTGGTTTATTTGTTTACTAGATATATTTGAGTTTGAGATGACTAGGGCCTACTAGTTAACTGTTGGTGATATTGCAGCCATAAAATTTCACTACACCTATACAGATTATTTTGATCTCTTAGTTAATAGGTATTTATTGTGTTCAAAAATAAAGATCTGGGCTACCCAAGATTGCAAATAAAAAGTATGTTAGACCAAGATTAAGGATGTTACGTTAACACGTTGGGTGCTGATGACGGGAATTCCCGCCATTGCTTAACATTGAAATAAATGCAATTTTCATGTTCAAACATGTCAACGGCACTTTAAGTGTTAAAGCTAAGTACCTCTGCAGATAGTAACGCAGCTACTGCTGCACACAGGAACAACCCCAGTAGTAACATCTGGCCCAGGAACAGGTGACGCCTGGAGGGTGTCGTTCTCCAAGTCTTGAGCAGAACAAACACCTGGAACAAACACATAGATTTACAGTAACACCAGAAATCTACAACAGTATTACACATACAACATACACAATAGAGGTGGGTTAGGGTGGGAAATTTCTTGATGAGGTCACAACATAGTCCGATGATCCCTTTCTATTTTCTCGCTAAGTTTTTCTTACATATTTAGGTAAATAAATTCTATGAGACAGCGACATTCACATTAGTGTGTATTGCTGAATGAATGCAAGCTGGGTAAGGGGGAGGGGGAGATGATCTGTAGTTTTTTACTGACTAAGATCAGCTGTTCATCAGTCAGTCGGGATAAAAGCTCAAAGATCAAAGACAGCTGGGCAAAATTTCAAAACATCAAAAAGTTACTGACTTTCTCAGGATTGAACCATCAACCTTCAGGAGGTGGGATTAGCACAGACTTGAGGAGGACACAGATAGTTTTCTTTGTAAGTTCTATAAATTGTTGTAACTGACTAGACATGATTGAGGAATGTTAACTTCCACGACAGTTTTCCAACAAAGAAATCATTGTGACTTTTGGCTTGGACTAATCCGTGTAAGATGCTCCTGACGACTGACGTTGCCTTGAAGACGGAGAATTGCGTGAAAAATCAGTGTCTTTCATCTTCCAGACAACACAATCCAACCAAGGAGCTAGAAATATTTCTTCGCAAGACTATATGGTTCTTAGGTTAAAGTATGGATACAGTTGAGAAGAGAAATTAATAAGTTTAAATTCTTTTAAAGGTGACACAAAACTACTTTTAAATACAATATTGTTTTTATTGCCCGTATGCTTTGCTATGCGGCCTTTTGAGAACTAAAAAAATCAACGAGGACGCCAAACCTGCACAAATATCCAGAATATCCTAAAGTTGATGTTCCTCTCATTTATGCTTCTCCACTAGAGCGATTCGCGATTTTACACTTTTATAACGCCTGCAACAAGCAGACGCAAAGCACGTTCAGTACTGTACCGGTATTGCGTTTAGCTTTTAGAAGGCGTGTTTAGTAATACCATTCACTATTGGATACTGAAGTAGACATCCCATGATGGACCGGGTGTCACCAATTTTTTTTATCAAAAAAGAACGTAGTTGTGTCAGCCAGACACAGAATGCGCTAGTGTCTAAACGTCTATTTTATACTGTACCTTATTTTTTGTCGCTTATCAAGCTGATGGGTCGTAACAGTTGCTATAATTCACAATAACTAACTTAATTCCATTAAGGTAAACGCACCAGTAGCTGACAGTATAAGAAACTATACGCACTTAATAATCCGTGGTTTTGAATAAATAGGAACTAAAGAGATATTACGGATTTTATGTGATTCTAAATTTAGTGTAGTTTTCAAATTTGTCATACAAAAAGGGTTTTTTAAATATATTTTATAACATTTTTAAACTTAATTCAACCTTTGTACGTGTTCCAGTGGCTGACAGTGAAAAAAGTGCTTGTACCAGTAGCTGACAGTCAGTTGTCCCAGTAGCTGACACTGGAACTATAATGTACTAGCTGCTAAACCTAAAGGTTTTATAATTTATAAGACGAATAAAATCTAACTTAATAATTAAATTATAAAATCACATAAAACGTTATTAAGAAAATTTATTTTACATATTTTAAAATAAATAATATTTACCTTAAAATATATATACAGGGTGACAAAAAAGTCTGGAAACGGCTTGATATCTTTTTAACTAAATTCGTTTGAAAATTCAAACTTTTCACATCAACTTATATGTATGATAACTACTTTTTGCAAGCATTACCATTTTTTGACCTCTACCAGGGGACGACCCATGAGGAGTAGGTACATAATCTTTGATGTAAGCATAGGTTGATATGCACATCATTTTAAAGGTCTGGTCCAGTGGAGTTCATTGCCGGAAACCGCGTCAAAAAAGGTTCATCCGTTACAAAATGGCGGCTGTCCAAAGTTCTTGCGGAATATACCTACAGAGACCTTAGTATTGGTAAATATATTCAACATTAGCCGGGAAATCTGAAACTCGGTAAAATTTGTTTTGAAGATTTTATAATATTAATCTATGAGCTAGTTGACTTAAAAATACAGTTTCAGCTCTCAAGCTAATGTTTAATACGAGTATTTACCAATACTAAGGCCTGTGCGGGTATATTCCACAAGAACTTTGGACAGCCGCCATTTTGTAACGGATGAACCTTTTTTGACGCAGTTTCTGGCAATGAACTCCACTTGACCAGACCTTTAAAATGATATGCATATCAACATATGCTTACATTAAAGATTATGTACCTACTCCTCGTGGGCCGTCCCCTGGTAGAGGTAAAAAAATGATAATGCTTGGAAAAAGTAGTTTTCATACATGTAAGTTGATGTGAAAGGTTTGAATTTTCTAACGGATTTATTTAAAAAGATATTAAACCGTTTCCAGACTTGTTTGTCACCCTGTATATATTTTATATATATTTTAAAAAAATATACATTTTTTAAGATAATTTGGCTTATAAATTAAAAAATTAAAATCATTTTATAAAAATGTGAGATCACATAAATTATAAATAGCATGCAAATTTCGATGGGTGAAACCAATTTAATATTGTGCAAGTAGCAAATATCCCCTGTCAGCTAGTGGAACTTGTATGGCTTTTGTGTACCAAAGCCTGACATTGATATAATTTTAAATCCAAAACCCCTAACGCCCCAATTTTTTCATGAAATTGTCAACAAAGGTATAATTGATAAAAATAATGAGCCTAATCATTAATACTATTTAAGAAATTTAGCGAAATGACAAAAAACTAAACTAACTTTCTTAACAATTTCATTAAGGGAATCGACTAAATGTGATGTGTACGGACAGGGTCGCTTTCAAACCACCACCATTCCGCAAGTATGGGCTAAATTTAACTGATTTTTTTGTAAACAAATCAAGAATAAACATATGTTCTTCTAACAATGCAATCATGTGTAAATATTTTTAAGAGACCACATTATAATGTTAAGAAACTCAAACTGTCAGCTTCTGGAGCACTGTCAGCTACTGGTGCATTTACCTTAGTTTGACTTAGTACAACATACATATACACATACATGCTTGGTACATTTCCCCGCCCTGATTTGGCTGGCTTACTGAATCAAAAATAAATATTTTGACCAATTTAAATTATGAAACTTGAAATCGTGTGTAAAATTGTAGGTTGTAACTTACAAGACTTCAGCACTAGAAAACTGTATGGAAAACTGTACAAGTAGACCATGAAAGTTTTGAAACGGACAAATTTGTTATATATCTTTGTCTATATTGCAATAATCAATATAGTACAATAGTTTATACCGTTGTATAAAGACAATTTTACCGCTTTACTGATTGATCCGTAATATGATTATATTACCATTGAATACTTATAGGCCTAAATAATTCTAATGACACCACGGTTAATGGTACGGATGGTTTAAGTAAACTACAAAAATCTCGAACGTTTATTTAAACGTTTCGCAGAAAAACATTTCGCCGTTTACCAGCGTATGACCAAATCGCACAATTTCTGGCCACCTTTGGCGGATTTTTTACCCAGCCGAAGAGACAGTGCTCGATTTAGGGTTTGATCGAATGACATAATTTATTCAAGGACATCTAGTCGTCGGATTCGGCGGGATAGCAGACAGTCTGGTCCAGTTCGAGTCTCGATTTGTGAGGTTGGTCAACCTGGTGCAACTGCATAGCGATTCCCAGATGATTCACCTCACTTTCGCGCCAAAACTGACCGCTGCTCACTCTCAGAATTTATAATCCATAGAGTAACCAACTTTATAGTATGTGATATTAGTACATATTATACTAATTTTTAATATTGTGTGTGCATTTAATAGCCATGGTTTAAGTAAGTTATAAGTCATAAGAAATGTATTTGACCACATCTACATAAGTTACATTCATTGGTTGTTACGTCAATTACAGTAATAAGTTGCATAAAATATATACAAAGCTCCTTATCCTACATGCCATAAGCTATTTACATTTTACATTTTGTTTGGAAATGCACTCATTATGACCACGACTGCCCGTCAGCAATAAAGGGCAGGTAGTAGTAGCATTTAGATATTAGTAATTTCCAAGAGATTTTTTTTATCACAGGGTCTGACTCAATTTTTAGATGATTCGGCAAAGCAATGAATAGCAGGATTCCGTTATAATATACATGTTATTTTTAATTGGTAGAATGCTTAGGTATCTGAAGATTGAGGCTGTTTCGCAGAGAATATGGTCAAGATCTGGGGGTTGCAAAGATATAGAGAAGTTTTTTTTTAAGTGATCTAAATGATTTAAAATTTTGTAAAGTATAAATAAAACGACACATTTATTTACTATATAGTGCAGTACTAAAACATAATGTGAAGTACGGTTACATGCACATTTCGGCTTCGGCGCAAGACCGAACGTATTACACGTTGTTTCACGATCACTCGATAATTGTATTGATAAAAGATTGGTGTTGTAATCTGATCATGAAGTATCTTAAAACAATATACACTATTAGCAATGCCAGTTTTTTCATACTCCTAAAATAAAATCCTATTAAAATATTGCTAAAACATATTGGAATACCAAACACCAAAGTATTTTAAATCTAACTACCATAGACAATTACTTTGGGATATTCCTTGTCAACTGTTGGTCAAGTTGATCAAAGTCTATTCCAGCCATTGTCATTTTCATTGCGTCCTCAAATATTCTTCCTCTATTGTATGGTTACATAAACGCGTGACTTTAAACCACAAAACACTTTCGTTCCGTGTTCCCATACTTTTAACGAGAGTATACTCAAGGACGTCTCTGCTAATTGGCAATTAATTAGAGAGTTCAGTCACCCATAGACGTAATTAGTTAGGTATTGTAGGTAATTAACTGTAAATTAATTATATTGTGGGTGTATGTGTCAAAAGTATATGAAAATAGTTTAAAATGTATAAATTGTATTGTAATATATTGTCACTAATTTGTTAAATATAATATAATGACG